AACTTTTTCCTAGGGCGTCCCTTCCCGACTCGGCCATTCACATCTGCCATATAAATTTGCTTTGTCACTCTTTCTTCATTCATTCTTTCTACGTGACCAAACCACCGAAGCATTCCTTTCTTAATCCTGGTCACAACATCATCTTGCATACCACATTTATCTCTTATCACGCAATTTCTCACCCTGTCATTCAGATAACACCCTAGCATATTCCTTAAAGACCGCATTTCTACAGCATTTATTTTACTTTCGTGCTTCTTCTGCCACACCCAGCTTTCACTACCATACATTAAAGTAGGGACTAACACAGCATTATGAATTACCATACGTGCCTGTTTTGATAAATTCTGGTTCTTCATAATAGAGTGTAGTGCCCCATTCACTCTATTCCCTGCATTTACTCGTCGTTCTATATCCCTATCATATCTACCATCCCTGCTAAATACACATCCCAAATACACAAACTCATCCACTTGCTCAATCAACACTCCTTCTATTCTTATTTCACATACCGTTTTGCTTTCTTCTCTTTCAAAAACCATCACTTTCGTCTTACTTGCGTTCACTTTCATTCCCCTTTCTTTTAATTCCCAGTTCATTAATGTAACCATCATTTGCAACTCTGCCGCCGATGACGCAAGTATGACTTGATCATCGGCATACAAAAGGCATTTGACGGTTAACTCGCCCATTCTTAACCCACATTCTTCATCTTTCAAAGTTTGCAAACACCGGTCCATAAATAGGTTGAACAGCCAAGGGGAAGCCACACAGCCCATTCTGACACCTTTTTGGATGCCAAACCAGTCCGAGTAGACCCCATTGATCCTGACACAAGCACTAGAGTCCCTATAAAGAGACCTTAATGCCTGTATCAAACCAGCGCTCAACCCATATGAGTTCAGTGTTTGCCATAACACATTCCTGTCCACTCTGTCATAAGCCTTTTCCAAGTCCATGAACGCACAAAAAACTTTCTGGTTTTTGGCCAAAAACTTCTCCGCAATCATGCGCATGAAAAAGACTTGATCTGTACACCCCATTCCCTTTCTAAAACCCGCTTGCACTTTAAATTTAATTTTAGGGTTTATGGAATTAAGATGTTCTAAAAATGCAGTTACTTTGTCTGATGGTAAAATTGTGAAAGTATCATCTACGTACCGCTTGTAGAACCTTGGGGTAACAGGTGCAGTAAGGAGGGCTTTCTCCTCAAAGTCTTCCATGAATATATCGGCGACAATGGGAGATACAAGTGAACCCATTGCAACACCATCTACTTGCTTGTAAAACTCTTCCTTCCACAATAGATAGCCAGATGTAAGGCAATGTCTTAGTAGTACTGCATATTCTGGTGGCATGTTATTTTCAACTAGTTTCCTAGTTATAATTGACATGCAGTCTTCAACAGGTAGGCATGTAAATAGAGACTGAACATCAAAACTGACCATGGTTTCATTGTCAGCAAGACGTAGGTCTTTTATCTCACTGACAAAATGGTATGAATCCTTAGTATGTGCTCTTGTGTGTCCTCTGAGTGGTGATAATATTTTGGCTAAGTGTTGAGCCAATCTGTACGTTGGCTAATCTATTTGACTCACTACTGGACGTAAATGGAGCGTTAGGTTTGTGTATTTTTGGTAACTCATACAACTTGGGAGGTTTTGCACACGAAGGTATCATCGAATTGACGTCTAGATTCAATTTCTCGGAGTATTTCTTAATTAGCGACCTAACGCTAGTTGTTTTAAGCGTATTAGTTTTAGGGTCTGTTTTGACCTTACGGTATGTACTTTCATCCGACAAAAGTTGTATTTTAAAATTGTAATCCGACGTATCCATTATAACCGTAGCATTTCCTTTACCTGCGCGGAGAATCGTAAGCTCTGGTCTGTTGCGTAAGGTTTTTAACGCGCTAAATTCATTTTTGGGAAGATTTAATTTCGGCGCTGTACTTCGACGTAACATAGACGAAATGTCTTGGCGTATGGCTTCTAAATCTTCATTACCAATATTATTTTTATACAGACAATCCTCAACACTGCAGATAATGTCTTCATACGGGATTCTTCGCGGTATAATTGCGTAATTAAAACCTCTTCTTAAAACTTTTAATGTGGCGTCGTCCAGAGTATGTTTTGACAGGTTATAGACCACGCCTTGTTTACTATTCGTGTCTGTGGTCGTTTCGTTCTTACGTTGCCATTGATGTTGGACATTTCATTTAGTTGTTAATTTTTGGTATTTATCAATATGTTTATTTTTGTATTCATTGTATTTAGTTGTTTCGCGTTTATCTAAAGTTTAGTCACAGTGACCGAGTGAAGCCGGCCACAGTCGAGCGTGTGCCTGCTATACTACCATATGTCAGAGGTGTCAAAGACAAGATTGGCTACATCTTGAAGCGAGCTTTCATTAGAACATTCTACAAGCCGCCGAAGAAGATTAGTCAGTTCTTACCATCCGTCAAGTGTCATATTCCTCTACAGATGCAGGAGTGTACAAGATTGATTGTGATTGTGGTCTCTCATATATAGGGCAAACAAAGAGATCAATCAGAACCCGCGTAAAAGAACACATAGCTGACGTGAAGCATCAACGTTCCGGGAAGTCTGCAGTTTGCGATCATATTCTAGATGGCCCCAACCATTACATCAGATTTGATAGACCACAAATCCTCGCGAAAGAACATCGATTCCTACCAAGGATGGTACGTGAGGCTATTGAAATTAAAAAACATCCTAATTTCAATAAAGAAGGAGGCTGGGTACTACCACCTGCTTGGGATCCTATAATTAATAAAATTAAAACTAAACCCAAGCATACCACTGCAAGACTTCAAAATACGGTTCATAATTTGTTTTATTATTAATAATACGTTTCTATTGATTAATTATCTTATTAACCGATGAAAAGAAATTCCTTGGCATTTACTGACATTTCTTGATTTGTGCAATATCTAAGTACACACGACGGCATATTTTATCAAGAGATTTTTTTTAAATCAACACAACACGTGACAACTCTAGAAGCGCCTAGCGAGTGACTGATTAAAGTGCGGTGTACGCACCGCAGTTGAGTGGAACAGAGTAGCTGAATGGAGTGTAGCCTCTAGTACGTAGTACATAATAGCTCAATGCTTCATGATGAACTTTTTTTCCAAAAGCAGCCCCACAGAAAGTGGACCTGGTCGAGCCCCGACGGTTCGACAAAAAAAAATTAGATTTACTTCATTATGACGATCAGACGACAACTGTTCACTGATGTCTCTGTGACACACTGAACCTAAACGTGAAGCTGGAGAGGTCACGTCTAATGAAGATAAAGCTCCGTGCCTCGTCTTCTATGTATCCTCGTCCCTCGTGTTCTAATCCAAAGCCCCGAAAATCTTCAGCTCGTGTCATAAAGTCGTTTTCGGTGCCTAGAAAACTGCAATGAAGTGGACGACATAAATGACAAGCTTGTGGAAACTATCTATGCTATTGGAGCTAAGTTCTGTATATTTGCAGAAGAACACATTTCACTCATAATCTCTGGTAGACGGGGTGGTTAATAAGTTAGAGAATGATTACCTAATTCTCTTAGTCTGAAGAGAGAGTATGGTGACTAGAGGAGATGAGGGTCTGAGGAAGTGTTTTGTGGCGTTCCTGGGGGTGCCTTTGTTCAGCAGTAGACTTGTGATGGGCTATAACGATGATGATAATAGTGAAACTTTGCCATACACACAACTGATCTAGAAATAAAACTAAGGTAGTTGTTATATTAGAAATTTATTAATTTCATAGTCCACTTCGGCTTAAAACTAAGTTAAACATTACAATTAAACCACATTTATATTAATCTGTATACACATATTTACAAAATAAAATTCATTGCATTGTTCTAATGTCTGGTTTAAAGGGTTAAGAAGCAATAATAGATGAAGGTGAGTATAAAATGCAAGTGGACTTTTAACAGTGTTCCTATCAAGTTGATGCTGAAAATAAAAAATAAATAATTCGCTTACCGCTACATACGTATTATGCGTCTAAAAATAACCACTATACATTGGCACTTAAACAAATGGCAAATAAATGCGATGCTACGTCTGTTATTAAAGTTTCGCCAAGAAGAAAGGAAACCTTTCTTAACGAAGGAAATATTGACTTCAAGTCTTATCTCTATAATCTGAGTACTAGAGTGAATTTAAATTTAAAAAATATATATAATCAACACTATTAAGGGAGTACGGAAAGTATTTGCCATCGCTTTAAAATTATTATTAGAAAAGTGTAAGTAGTAGTAAGTATCGATTGAGGGTAGTTCAAACTTAAAAACTAGATTATTCCCTCCGTTTATTTTCGAAAAGTAAATCGTTTTAACGACCACTATTTTTTTTAAATATCAGTATCGAGATTTAAATTATTCATAAATCGACATGGAATGACGATTATACCTACGTATTTCGCATTCAACCATCTCACACATAATTTAATACTGCCGACGAGATCGCCTCAGACTCAGATCGAATCGCTAAGCGATCATACCATTACTAGGTGCGAGCAATATTTTGAACAAATTACTCTAAATGTATAGTCCTATCATATTTTGTAATCAGTATTTTCGTTTTATTTTTCGTTTTTAAATAGTGATACTATAGATAAGGATAATTACTATAAATAATTTTTTTTAAAACAATGTAGGTAAAAAAATATTTTCTTAAAATTTTACTAAAACTGTTCAAAATATTGCAATACACATAACAAAACCAGTCTATCGATTAAAAACAAAAACATCGTCCATTTTTGGTGAGACTAACGATTTAACACAATTTGTAAGTCAAATAATATTAAAAACTAAAACGTTCCTAAAAAACTATTGAAAGTGCGGCTGCCGATCCTACAACACATAAAAATGGCGGTTTCGACGCGAGTCAGTATGGCAGTGGGCATTTATGAAAAAAGTATAAGGTTTGTACAAACGGGTGAAATCTTTTCGAGTGAGTCTCACCACACGATCGCGCCTCAACGTTTAGGCGGGGCGATTTGTATGGACACGTAGAGTCTGAGCGGCGACGGTATATTGATATTCACTTGTCGCCTGTTCCTCTTTCTTCCCATCTCGGGCACGGGAACAAACCGCGCCTCCAGCTCCAGCTGTCGCTCAAGCACAGCTTCACTCTTGAGGTGTCTCCTCAGCCGCAGGGCCCAGGCTCCGTCCCGTTTAGAGAGAACGAAGTCTTTGTTATCATCTCCGTACGCGATGCGGTAGTGTGGCTTCGCTCCGCCTTCCGCCGGAACCAAGCGCAGTAATGGTGCCCGACCCCAAGTTTGTTTGGGTGTAGCTGTTACTACTATTAACTCAACTTCAGGTTCGAGGATTGACCGACGACCTAGCAAAAAAAGGTATTAATATGTGAAACATATTTCTGACCTTCGAAGTTAAAAATAAAGTAAATAATACGCTGAAAATAAAAGTCGAATGTGTCCCTTAATTTGGTAGACGATTGTGCTCTAACAACTTTCCAATAACGAACTTCGGAAAACTCGTCAATTCAACGTCAAATCATATCAACCGTAAAATTTAATATGGACAAATGTGAAAATGTTTACGATAATCTGAATTGTTTTAATTAAGGTTATTGTAATGGTTGTTCTGAATTGATAAATATCAGACATGTAACACTATTTTAAATCGCACTATGAAAGTAAATAAACGATTTTTATTCGTAATTGTTTTTTTATAGTAATTAAAATATAGTGCTATTAAATATGGAATGCTTACGAGAGTGGATTGAAAAGTACTCGGCCTAACCAAGAAAATAAATACATACTAAATCAGTTATATTTTTATTTTTCTACATAATCACCATCAAGTTCAATACACTTTTGCCACCTCCCCTTCCAAGCATTTAGACCGTTGAAAAAAAATGATTCTTCCTTAGAGTCAAAATATGCGTCTACAGCTGCTTTGACCTCGTCGTTTGTCGAAAATCTTTGACCTCCCAAATGCTTTTTTAGATTAGGGAACAGAAAAAAGTCTGATGGTGCCAGATCAGGTGAATACGGCGGATGCGGTAACAGTTCAAAGCCGCAGTTGTGAATTTCAGCCATTGACTGTACTGACGTGTGAACACGGGCGTTATCTTGATGAAACAGGACTTTTCTTCTGAGCATTCCTCGACGTTTTTCTTTTATTTCCTCTCGTAAACGACGTATTAAAGTGCAGTAGTAATCAGAGTTTATAGTCTGACCCCTTTCAAGATAATTTATGTGGTAGAGACATGCTTAAGTTATATTAGATGTATAGTTGTAGACGAATGGGTCGGCTCGACCGGGGAAGGACCACGCTCTCATGTCCGCGTGAAATAGTAGCTTAATGCTGCTGTATTTCGTATGGTGAGTGTACAGAACCGGCAACCCATTTTACGTGGAAACGAGTCATTCTCATCTTAGTCCTAACAGTCGGGTGACAATAGTCAATCGTCGTCCTTTTTTGTTCAACTGAAAGCAGTCGCGGAACCCACCTCGCAGACACCTTGTGGAAACCCAACTCGTTGACAATGATGTTTTGAGTTTGTTCATAAGAGATGCCTATAATCTCGGCTATCTCTCTAATTTTTAATCTGCGGTCTCCCATTATTAAATCAAGTACTTTTTTAATATTTTCGTCAGTAGTTGACGTCGAAGGCCTTCCAGAGCGGGGTTCATCTTTCACACTCTCTCTACCACGCTTAAATTCTGCTATCCATTTTTTGACGGATGAATATGACAGAGCACAATCGCCTAATGTACTGACCATGTCATCATGGATGGCTTTTGATGATAGCCCCTTCTTATGGAGGTACTTAATGACGGCACGCTGCTCGATTTGCTCCATTCGCGGAAATTATGTCCGATTACTTTGTTAATAAATTTATAAAATCACAACTAATTATCGCACACGTTTCGAACTTCACACAATGAACTAGTCTGAACTGAACTAAATAATGTGGGTAGATTTGATTTTTAGATATATTGATATGGATTGTGTTAGGCCGAGTTTACTTTTCAATCCACCCTCGTATCATGTTAAAATTGAAAATAATTATTGCATTCCAACAAATTATTTGAATTGATACATTTGTTTCACTTACGATTATATATTTTTACTTATACAATTTATATTGAATAAATAAAAACCCAAAAGGTTTCGCCTTACGTCATCATCGGAGTATTTAAGTGATATATAAGTAACATCAAATTTTAATTAATATAAGGATACGATATATCGTGAGCAAATTATACAACACGTTATACAAAAACGAACAGAGAAAAAAACTTGCAACATCAAAAATATTAATCACAGGATATCATCATTATAAATTGAATATCATATTTAAACATATTTAACACAAGGGAGACAATAAAAACTCACGCCTGCTGCGTCTGCTGCGCCTTCTGACGTAGGTTGTACCGTTCGCGAAAACGATTCCTTCTTCCGGGGCTCTTCTGTGGCGACCGTTCATCTGAAATTAGAATTGATTTAAATTGATTAATTGATTTTTTTAAATCTATACATAAAATTTTCAGGATACTAAATACAAAATTGTAAAAAGAATAAATTTAGTGAAATATAATTTTGCGTTCGCTAGCGTATAATTTAATCCTCAGAACAACGTGTAGAACAAAAAAATCCCTTTTCAAAGTTTAAATTATATATTATTTAAATTATGTATTATGATAAGGATATTGAACGACGAGTGAATGCAGGAAATAAAGTAAATGGGGCTCTACACTCTATTGTGAAAAGTCAGAATGTGTCAAAAAAGGCACGTATGGCAATTCACAGTGCTGTATTAGTCCCTACTTTAACGTATGGTATTGAAAGTTGGGTGTGGCGGAAGAAGCACGAGAGTAGAATAAATGCAGTAGAAATGCGGTCGCTAAGGAGTATGTTATTAGGGCTGAATCTGAGTGACAGGGTGAGAAACTGTGTGATAAAAGAAGAGTGTGGTTTGCAAGATGATGCGGTGACCAGGATTAAGAAAGGAATGCTTCGGTGGTTTGGTCATGTAGAAAGAATGAATGAGGAAAGACTGACAAAGCAAATATATGTTGCAGAAGTGAATGGAAGAGTCGGAAAGGGACGTCCTAGACGGAAGTTTGTCGACCAAATTGGCGATATAATAAAAATGGGCCAAATTAAGAGTACCCTTAACCGACGAGCATGTATGCGTTAGTATATGGATGTGGGAGAGGCGAGAAAGGTATGTCAGGATCGTGCTAAATGGAAGTCTGTAGTCTCTGCCTACCCCTGACAGGCGTGAGTGTTTATGTATGTATGTATTATTACACAAATAAATGACTATTGCTCAACTTCAACTTTCTCTTTCCAGATAAGATTTACAGGAATCATTTTGCCATGTAGTGGTGATATAAGAGAATCCATTATCCATTTTATTTTTTAGTATAAAGTGACTATGTGTAATTGTGGAAAGATCTCCTTCATAGACTTATTACTGCTGCGTAAGGGCCAGGTCATTAAACAAACAAAATGGCACCGACTCATTGGTGCGAAAATGTTTATGGAGCACCGACGCGACCTCACATGCGAGCCGTATGTCCGTGCAGTGTTTCCACTTTTAGATATTTTGCACTATTTTAGGGTAAATCTAGTAAATATAGTTCGGGCTTTAGGCATTTCTTCAAGTTTACAGGGTTTTGTATAATTTAGGTTAAAACCGAACTTCAAGTAACCTTATTTTATACCCACCCCATATATTTTTTTAAAATTTTATCGAAGGGGATAGCGTCAAAAGCGCAAGAAAAATGTAGTAAGAAAATTTTTTTAATTGTGTATATCGGAATATTGGTATAATACTTTACTTATTTACATATTCGTTATTTATATGAAACTTAGAGTTACATATTCATTGTTCATGTAATTTGAAAATGAGAACGTTTTCCTCATCACAAAACTCAAGATTTTTAATCGTGAAATGATATTAAAATCTTGCAATAACGTTGTCAGACAATTAGGTGCAATAAATAAGGCTATAATGATTTTTTACGATGATTTAGGGAGTATTTCCACAGGTTCTAGGGTAAAACCAAAATCACAAGTGGAAACACTGGTTTCGTGGTAGTTCATGAGTATTTAAGGAATGGCGCTGATTTATTCTATGCTTAAACAGTGAAAATTTTTTATTCAAACGACCATATCTTGTCATTTATAGCAATGATCTCGTTACCTCTAATCACTGACCTCTATATATACAAGTACGCTGGACTGGCTATATACCGTGACATGATGAAGCGATTTGATTTCCGCCATTTTGGCGCTGATAGCAGAAGTGCACGTCTACGGAACTAATACTAGGGATAAGACAGTGTACCAAATTTTATCGATAAAAATTCTATACCCTACCTATACCCAAATAAATAGAATGGACTCTATGGATAGATGGACTCTACCCGTAACGTCCGTTCTATTTATGTATCATATTAATAAAATGCCACCATCATTAAAACCCTTCACAAGTCCACTGCTGAACATAGGCCTCCCCCAAGGAATGCCACAAAGCACGGTCCTGAGCTACCTGCATCTATCGACTTCCTGAATGTCTTACCAGGTTTTAACTCCATCTAGTAGGGGAACATCTTACACTTCACATGCCATTACGAGGCTGCCACTCGAGAACCTTTTCACCCCATCGGTATTCGGTTCTTCTAGCTATATGGCCGGTCAATTGCCACTTCAGCTTACTAATCCATTGGGCGATGTCAGTCACTCCGGTTGTGCTGCAGCTATCCTCATTCCTAAGTTTGAACCCCTGAGCATAGCACTCTTCACAGCTCTTTGAGCAACTTCGAGCTTCCTCATACGGCCAGCAGTGAAAGACCTCGTCTCAGATCCATATATCATCACTGGCAACACGCATTGATTGTACAATCTAGTTTTGAGATATTCCTCCTGACGAGAAGATGTGTTTTAATCTCCCGAACGCTGCCCAACCGAGTTGAATCCGTCGATTGACCTGTCGGTCGAAGTTGAACTTACCTAGTCGGACTATTTGTCCCAATAAAAATACTCATAAACAACTTCAGCTAAGTGCTCCCAAAAACCACCGGCATAGGTGTGACATGGACATTGATGACTTTTGTTTTGTCCGTGTTCATCTTAAGACCTATCCGTTGGGAGACACTATCAGGCCTCCGTCACTCGCTCTAGGCCACGCGTTATATGCCTACCGCTCTGCGTATCACCCACGATACAACCGATATAAGACTGCCGCACGCCCGCCTGAGCGCTTACACCGCGCACGTTTCCCGCGCTTACTCGTCGCAATGCCGAAACCACGAAATTATTGTGCAGTGGATGGGCGTCAAAGTCAAAAAACAAATGAAAAATTGTCTTGTTTTTGTGTTGACTTATGTATCCAAGGTATTCATTAATATAAGTGTAGTAAAAAAAACATAACTGCACTAGCTTCAATGCTTTGTTACAGGAGAAACCTGATGTTGACGAAAAAACACTGTTTCATTACAAAGCCAATAATACAGATTCATCTTTTTTATGGTCTATATCTAAAAGTCCCACCAGAAACGTTAAATAATTACTTATATTGAAGAATTAGAAAGTGCACTCTTAAATAATTTTGACAACGTCATAATGAATCGGCCTGGCAGCACCGTGTTGCATTGATTTTCCTCTGCTTTGCTCCTGTTTTCTTCATGATTATTTATTAAAATTATTTACGCGATTTAGGATATTTTCAACGACAAAATTAAATAACATTTTATAAAACTCAAATATTTTTGATCGACAAATAAAAAATATGGTTATGTATTTCGCAACATTTGTTTTATTACAATAATCATCATAGGTACAACCCTAGCGCATTCGTGCGATGACACTACGTGCGGCCAACAATCTCGACTCTTTGATCGCGTACTTATGGTACATTTTTTCTCGCTGCGAGCAGCAGATATTATTATTAAGATTTTGTAGGCTGTTATAGCGTAGGTATTTTCGCTTTTGTATGGGAGTGATGTATCTGAAATAATCTGTGACACTATAGAGGTCATTGAACATACTACGTAGGTCCTACAGCGATTCTGCCATAAGGACTATATTGTCGGGGTTGACGTGTATGTAATACCGTATCCCTTCCAGTCCAGTAGGTTGAAAACGTTTTCCAATGCAGCGGTAAAGTGTTTCGGGAATATTACGTCACCCTGCCTTACACATCTCTACAGTTGGATTAGTTTTGTACTCTGGTTCTGTACTCCGATAGCCATCGTAGCCCTTAGACCATTTAACTAAAAATTATTAAGATTAAACTAACTACACAAAATAAAAATGTAAACATAATTTCTAGAATAATTTATTGTCAACCGTTCATTTAGTTTTAGTATTATAAAAAACAAATCAGCTGCTATAATAACGCCTATTCTAATCAACTACAGGTCTGTCTATAGACAGTAAAATATTTTCTACTCTACAAAAATTTATGTTTGTTCGTACTTTCTACTACGCCATACCGTTCATCAGATTGCGGTAAAACTTAGTCAACTTATTGGTTGCACTTGTGCGAAGGTTATACGCATGGTACAATTAACTGATACTAGGTGGCGTGCGTATAATACTGACTTTTTATTTGAAAGTTATAGAAAGTTATATATCATTTTATTTCAATGATTTTATATAATTCCTAATTATACAATGCAATTGTTCCACATTTTTAACGATATTTCCACAATTACTTCTTCTGCGGCAGCAATGCGCAAGCTAGCAAGATAATATAAAAAATATAAACTTTTAATTACATAGTTATCAGTTATTTACAGTCATTTTCGAAATTAAAATTACAATATTAAAAAAAATAACTGAAATTATCAATTACCGAGCCTGATATGTGAATGGAGCTAGGGAAAAACGAGCACTTGGAAGCATCAAGTGGTGCAGCCTCACCAAAGTCGCGAAAGACAGTCGAGAGGCGCATCGCTAATCGCCATACCAACACTCCTCTTCCCTTACGACTCCACCTCGACTACAGCGGTACAGGGAGAGGAATTTCCTCTAGCCGCAGCCCACTAACACACATCCAACGTGGCTCGACATCATCAGGCGACCTTTCGACACTTGGCTATGGCCCTTGAGTTTGGTGGAAAATGAGGAAAGAAGAAATAAAAAAACATTCGAAACAATAATCTAATACTTAGTACTAGGTAGTTGGTAGTGCTTGGTACTGGTACTACCAGAAAATATTTTCGGTATACTGCACTTTTTCAAAGTGGTGCAGTTCTCATGTCTAATAGTCTGTGAAATGTTTGGAACAAATATGATTATTTTGTTTCGGACGCCAATTCACAATATTTATGATTTTAAGCCATAATTTTAGTCTATGTTTAGTTGGAAACCTGTTAATTAATAAACATTTTATAATCATCTGTTGTTGGCGACTTTGTTTGTTAACAGATATGGTAGGAGAGAACATCGATAAGTATTATAGACAAGGAACTCGACAACTCTATTGAATTTTATTGTTTATCAAACCTCAGTAATATACAGCCAAACATGTTGGTATATATGATATTAAGATTAGTAACAAAATTCTAAGTACTTATACTATCAAATAGTTTCAATTTATTTAATATTTACTGCAAATTCACTTATTTGTGAAATGTTATACCACTTTCATTTTGGTAACGAGTTTTACAGATTACGCACACTCTTATTATTAATAAAAATAATTCTTATTATGTAACTAATATTATATACAATGAAACAACATAACATACTTTGGTTTTTTAGTTTAAAAGTTTAAAATACAGACTTATTAAATATGACAATATAAATAAGACAACAGACTTTGGCATATTATGTCAATTTTATTTTTCAAGACATCCTTTAGCGGCGCTTCAAATTGGCACAGTCATTTTGTATGGTATAGCCAGTCCAGCGTACTTGTATATATAGAGGTCAGTGCCTCCAATAGATAGCGGTATAATAAAATACCGCAACCGGCGGTTGGAGGCACTGTCAAAGGTATAGACAGACAACTGGAACTAAAATCCCATTTAATGCCAAGTTGCGGTCCAAACGTGGCGATTATAATAAAATAATAAGGGCCTGTATAAAAGTTTTCAAAAAAAAAACATGCACACAAACCTTGCAACTGAAACATCCTTCAGTCGAAATGAGCTCGTTTTTCCCACCAATCTTGTACTGATCCCTAACTGGGAACACAGGCGCATCTCCGATATCGTCCGGTGGTAGAGCGCCATCCAGCGCTGTGAGACAGTGACCCGCTCCCACAAGTTGATAGCCAGCCGGACAGCCGCACTGGTACGATTCTCCAAATGTAGTGCAACCGAACAAGCAGCTCGCGGTCGCACAGCCGCCAGCCAGCTTTAAAACGAAGAAAAGTTTTGTGACACGATCGTAATCGAGATTCTGAATACAACTAAGATTTTTTGGAAAATATGATTAATTTAAAGAAAAAGCTCAAATAATAATAGTTAGTGAGATAAAATATCAGGTAGTTGTATTAAAAGAAACATAAGTTATAAGCGGTTGGTATGTAGTGTATCCAAAAAAAAAACTATTTTCCGCTATGATCATCATCATCATCATTACAGCTCTTCACAAGACCACTGCCGAACATAGGCTTCCACCAAGGAATGCCATAAAGAATGGTCCTAAGCCTCCTGCATCCATTGACTTTCTGCATGTCTTACCAGGTCGTCACTCCATCTAGTGTGGGATCGCCCTACACTACACCTATCGGTACGAGACTGCCACTCAAAACCTTTTTTTCTTATCGGTTGTCGGTTCTTCGAGCTATATGGCCGGCACATTGCCAATTTAGCTTACTAATCCGTTGCGCTATGTCGGTCAGTCTGGTCTACTCTACTCTTTTGCGGATATCCTCATTTCTAAGTTTATCACGCAGCGAAACTCCACGCATAGCCCTTTCTATAGCCCGCTGAGCGACTTTGGAGCGTCCTCCTACGGCCAACAATGAATCCGCTATGATGTCAGTGTTTAATTTACTAAATTCCGTTCTAGAACAAATTAAAAGAAGAGCCGCGTTTGCCATAAATTATATTTCAAGACTAAGCAAAATTTCAACCTAAAAATCATTAAATATGAAATTGTATAAAGTTCTGAAGAATTGTGTTTGTGTGCGTGCGCGTGCTTATTATTTCGTATATGTAGGTGGTGCCGCACCTGCAGGCAGACTCCGTGGGCGGCGTCCCAGCCGTAGCCGGCGGGGCAGCCGCAGCGGTAAGCGCCGGCCAGCGGGAAGCACGGCGAGGAGCCGCACGGCGCGGCGGCGCACGCGTCCTGCGGCACGCAGCCCCCGCCAGCACCGCCCGCGCGCACCGTGCCTGCGCCATCACCAAACCATTCGTTAACACTTACTAATTAATTAATAGAATCACAAGCAGAAGTACGGTTTTTTAACCGAGTTCAATAAAAGGAGGAGGTTCTCAATTCGACTGTATTTATTTTTTATTTTATGAACTTTGGAGATATTTTTTTATAGAATAAGGGTAAACATTTTTTTTTAATATAGAAAAAGATAAAATTTACACCGTATTAGTTGTTACTTCACGGATATGCATTATATTAAGGTTGTCAATATTGATTAGCTAAGATCCGAATAAAAAATAAGATGATGTATCCTAACTAAAAGCATCTCCCACTCTACCACATATGCTTACTCTATCACTGCCACTTCTAAACGAAATAGCACTACTACAGCGAAGAACACACCACTCTACGATAAAATTCAACACGTATTTCGCTTATAAACAAGGTATCATCAGGAGAAGTAGACTCTGCGATGGCTAACGGCTATATATAGTATTTAGCGGTTACCTAGTTACAGTCCATATACGTCCCACGGCTGGGCATAGGCCTCCTCTCATTTCTGAGCCTAGACAGTACCCGAATTAGTCTGACCAATTCATCCGTCAAGCGAGGCTATTAAAGGCAAATCCTCATTATAATGGGAGAAGCTCGAAGAACCTTGAGGGGCAATGGAAAGGAAGAAGAATATATAAGAGGAGTACTGGCGGTAAGAACTTAAACATCGACGGATTGTTGTTCCCGTTTTATTGTTTAAATAAAAGTGACACGATGAAAAATAAGTGCTCCGTTACAATCTCCTAAAAACTTTTCAATGTAATGTAATGCATTAACATATTGTGAAATTTTTTTTAAATGTTTTTTCTTTATAGAAGAGGGGGCAAGCGAGCATGCGGCTCACCTGATGTTAAGTGACTACCGCCGCCCATGATCAACCGCAACACCAGGGGAATTGCGGGTGCGTTGCCGGCCCTTTAGAAAGGAGTAAGCTCTTTTCTTGAAGGTCCACAGGTCGTATCGGTCCGGAAAAATCGCAGCTGGTAAACTATTCCAAAGAAAGGTTGTACGCGGAACAAAACTCCTTTTGAAACGTGCAGTGGTGGACTGCCAAGCATCCAGATGGTGTGGATGGCGGCTGGGATTAATCCCAACAATTCCGAATCTTGTCACGATTCGAGCCGCTCTGCATCTGCGCTGGATGCGGTCAAGTGGAAAGAGCTGGTACTGGGGAGCCCCAGCCAGGGCAGTAAAGTTGCAGGCAGTGTGCGGGCATGAAATACTGTCCCGCTCTGCCGAGCACGCCAAGCTTTTTAAAAGCCAATTTGGCCTTCTCTTCCAAGTGACCAAGAAACTGCACGTCACTCGATATGTCGACGCCGAGGATTCCGATACTGGCTGAGGCAACAAGGGGAGTGCTTAGAAACTGAGAAGATACGACAAAGGGGTTCTTTTTAGCGGTTAACGCGCAAACTTCTGTCTTCTGCGGGTTAAATTGGACTAAATTTAGACACCCCCAATCCGAGACTCTGTTCAGCAAAGACTCGTCTTGAGACACAAGTTTGTCCCGGTACTCGGAGACGTTGTCCCGAGAAATATTGGCACGGCCGGTGTACAGAGCATCACTAGTGCTGTCATCTGCATAGCAATGAAAGTTACGGGTTTGCAACATATCATTGATATGCAGAAGAAACAGCGTTGGCGACAGCACGCAGCCTTGTGGAACACCAACATTAATAGGCTTGCAATCGGAGCTTGCACCGTCTACAATGACCTCGATGCTCCGATCTGCAAAAAAGCTCGTGATCTAATTTATAATTTCTCGGGAAGCCCATAGGAAGGGAGCTTTGAAAGAAGCGCTTTGTGCCAAACCCTATCGAAGGCCTTCACAAGGTCCAAACTAACGGCCAATGCATCCCCCTTGGACTTTACTGCCTGCGTCCATCTATGAGTTAGGTAGACCAGAAGATCACCAGCTGATCGACCACGGCGAAAACCGTATTGGCGATCACAAATCAGCTGGTGATCTTCAAGGTACCTCATGAGCTGGCAGTTCACAATGGACTCCATTGTTTTGGAGAACAAGGAGGTGATGGCGATAGGCCGGTAGTTGGACGGGTCTGAGCGGTCGCCTTTTTTAGGGATCGGGTGGACGAAAGCCGTATTCCATGATTTTGGGACTACGCCTAAGGAGTAGGAGTACCGAAAAAGACGCGTTAAAACCGGTGCCAACTCTGGAGCACACCTCCTCAGCACAATTGGGGTGATTCCGTGAGGCCCACTCGACATGTGGATGTCCAAGGAGAGAAGTACTTTGTGGACCGAGCGCTGTGTGAACTGCACTTCCGGCATGGAACACTCACACCGCGGGATGGTCGGCGGCGTACTCCCCCCGTCATCGAGAGTCGAGTTGGACGCAAAGAAAGAGCCTAGCAGATCGGCTTTCTCATTGGCCCATACCGCAAAGGTGGTATGGGCCAATGAGTCGTCATCCCTGTGCAGAGATGGAAGAGATGGCTGACGGAAATTCCCCTGGACAGCCTTGGCGAGAGACGAGAATGCACGAGTTCCAAAAGAAAGGTGAACTAGTTTCTCGTCAATTCTGCCTATGTGCTCTGACTTTGCCTTGGCAATGACTCTTTTGAAGGACCTGGAGGTGGAATTACACTTCTTTTTAAGAGCGCTGGTGTTTACATCCCGGGACTTTGATGCGTTAGCCCAGGCTTGGTAGCACTCCTACTTATAGCATGATGTTATTTTACTGGAGCGACCAAACCATGGCTGAGGTTTGCCTCCGATGGGTACCACAGAGGAAGGAATAAATAGTTCTATACCCTGAAATACCACATCAGCGACAGAATCAGGTATGAATATTTAAATGAATAATTTCTTATTAATTGACACTGGTAAATGGACAAGTGTTTGCGTCCATGACTAAATACAAAAATAAGAAAGCGTGAGTTACCTGGCGGACAATCGCAGCGGAAGCCGCCGGCGTAATTCCGGCAAGGCGACTGGCAGCGGCCGTCGGCGCACTCGTCGCGGTCGAGGCAGCGCGTGCCCGCGACGTCCAGCCGGAAGCCGCGAGGGCACACGCAGCGGTGCGAGCCCAGCAGGTTCACGCACTTGCCCGGCGGCTGGCACACGCCCTCCTCGTGGCACTCGTTGATGTCTGCCGGAGAAATAAACTAATAGTCTAAAAATGTTCCACCGATACTATAGCCACCTTTGGTTTAGGAGTACATAAAAGTACGCCACGCTCTTCAATGCTTGCCGATAGCTGCAAAACCGTTATCAATAATTATATAATGTATATTTTATATACTATTATGTCCAAAAAACTTAACTCGAGTAGCTGTATGTTTCCTTTTAAAAAGTTTGCTATGCCTTTAAAAAATTTGGAAGGCCCAACGTTCTTTTTAATTCTTGTAATATCTGATTCTTCATAAGAAAGAGGTTTTTACCAATAGAAAGGTAGAAGTAAAAGAATCTATGTTCAAAGGAAAATTTTCTATTCCATTCTATTCAAAAAAAGTAGTGAAACATCTTACTCTTTTTAATTTTGTCGTCACCTATAACATCCATTACATAAATGAATCCTGCCCACTTTTCATACATTTAAAAACCTGATAGTGAAATTTTATGTATAGAAAGAAAAGGTATACTAGAAAACTACCTATAAGTTTAGAAAATAATGTTGTGGCGCGACGACAGCATTTTAAGATAGTTTGCCGTTACAAAATAGGTAATCAAGAAATAAATGCTATAGAACTTATTATTAACGCTCGAAGTTAAGATAAAATACTTACCTATGCTAGTTACTAGTTAGTTATACTAGTTAAGATAAGCTAATACCTAGCTATGGTTTAAAATGTCTTTTTTACTTTGTGAATTCCTTGAAACCAACTGCCCCTAAGTCACCGCTTACTCTCCACGATTGTCGATGTTATTTGATTATTATATTATTTTTAATTAATCTGTACTATATAAAGACTAACGAAGAAATAATTACTGATTATATATTTATGAATCATAAAATAATGTATGAAATTCAGAATCAAAGTAAAATAGCAGTGTGTAAAATGGAACATCCTAGAAAAAGGGTAATTGAGATGCGTTCAAAATATGGTAAATATGTTCACCCTTGTAGTAGAATAAGCTTAAAGAAATATTAAAAAATATTATTTTCCTGAGTTTCTTTTAACATTGTAATAAGCGTAATTAATTTACAATTCAATTTGCTGAATTTTAGGATTTATTTCATTTCTATACCTAGTCAGGTGAAAAATGGGCATCTTTCTTTGGTCTGCACTTATACATATAATAAATGATAAGTATTATCTTACCAACGCAAGCATCTCCCCTCTTTTCGTATCCTTCTTGGCAAGAACACTCAAACGATCCCTCTGTGTTCGTGCAAATCTGTTGACACGTATGCGTTCCTCTCTCGCACTCGTCAACGTCCTGACAGTTAGCGCCGTCCTCGTCGATCTCATACCCGGAGCGACAGAGGCACTCGTAGGAGCCCTCGTTGTTCTTGCAGAGTTGCTCACACGGTGGAGGTCGAATACTGCACTCGTCTACATCCGCGCAAATATCACCCGCCGCTTTATAGCCACGTCCACACACGCAACGGAAACTGAAAAATAAATGATCAAAAGTTTCAATTTATACTTTTTTTGATCCGATGATAAGTGGATGCTGTGGCCAATAGACATCTATTCGAGATTAAGATTCAAAATGCAAATGCATTGTCACCCCCCGAGTGCATGAATGCCTTGAATCAAGTAGAAAGAGTCTTCGGTTATCTACACTTACCATACGAAACAGCAACATTGAGCTGCTATTCTGTGAGAGCTTGTTCCCGGTTTAACTATGTAATAATAATTTTGTTCATTAAGTACAACCAATTTTTATTTATTTAATTTAAACAAAATATATCTTTATCACAAATACACAAACTTTAAATAAGATTCCATCTGATGTAAATTGAACATAGTTGTTAGTAAATAACTCTTATTAACCTTGTATCAAAGATTGGAAAAGTATAAACAAACGCAATTAAAGGAATTCAAATATTTTGCTATGCATGCCAGAAGTGTTGGAATGAAGCGTTAGTGGATGATTTAAATTGTTGATATAATCTAAGGTACGTTAACAAATTAAATTATCATCAACGTCCACAGTTATAATTAATTTAAAGTAAAAGTTGAAAAATTACTGAAAACTAACACCAGTTTAAATGCCTACGAAAATGAGAGATTTGGCTCAAAAATTTTAAAACATTGTCATCACACGTTATCCCATTGAATTCAAAGTGGCTGGTTTCTACTGAGTAGCTATAATAGCTCGAAGTCGAATTAATTTGATCCTGTGGAAAATTACGACATAATTCTTATGACGTTTATGTTCCGAAGTAGCCTTATGATTGAATATATTAAGCTGTGCCGGTGATTTATTTCGCGTGTAATTAGGATATGATTTATTTATACTTAATTACGATGATTAATTCGTACAAATTAATATCAGTAAAACCTAAAAAAAAAAAACACTATACTGGATAAAAACATTCAGTTAAATGATGATTATGACTGGTAGACTGTTGCTACCATTTTTTTTAATAACAATGACAAACGGATATACAGGTTTTCACAAGTCCACTGCTGAAAGTAAGCCCTACCCAAGGAATGCCACAAAGTACGATCCTAAGCCCCGTGTAGTGACGTTTAAGAATACTCACTATCCCATATGTTCCTGTGGGTGTCGTAAGTGGCGACAGAGGGAAACTGAGGCAGAGGATGGGCAGCAGTACACCCACATACATTCTCAGCGTATGTTATCGCAGGTACTTTAGAAGCGCCGATTATCAGTGAAACCCCGATAAATATTGTTTTCTGTATTGAGCCCGCGCCGTTACCGGTGCTAACTTTCCATTTAAAAATATAAAATTCCCGCTGTGAAGCAATCTATGGGGAGGCCTTTGTTCAGTGTGGAGTTTTACAGGCTGTACTGAACGGACGGATGACATACTGGCAAATGTATAAGCGTACGTGTTAATTACCAAATACAAACGTGTGCACGGCCGTGTATTTTAAGTAAATACGTGTACATAGAGAAAAGACCTCAAAATGGTGGCGCTCCCCCCTCCATCGGATCTAGGGAATAGATATGTAGCTGCAACATTAAACTGTACCCACTGACTTCGTTATCATCAGTTTTCTAAATTACCTCCCAATATGTAAGCAAATTCAAAGACAAATTACGTCAAAAAATACGCACCTGCCGATGGTGTTGACGCATCTGCCGGGCGCGCAGAGGTCGGGCATGGCAGCGCACTCGTCCACGTCACCGTAGACGTCCACGCCGCCGCCGAGTGTCCCGCCGCCGAGTCCACCAGGTAGCACTCCACCGCCGCCACCACCCACCAGCTGTGACCGCGCGCAGAGCTGCATGCGCTCCGGCGAGCCAGGCGCCGGACACACTGCACTCCACTCCGGCCCCCACGCCACACCCAGCGTGCAGCAGCACTGCGCTCTGCACACAACGCTTCATCATATCTTGTGTTCATGCGAATGCGATTTGTAGCTCGGGGGATAAACGTTTGTCGCAAATTTTATAATACTCGAGCAAAATTCATTCCTACATTTGAAAGTCATATTCTATTTACATCCCACATATGGACATAGGCCTCATTTCTGAAAGCATTTTAGTTTAGTGAACTAACGCAGAGTTCGCCGACATACATTCATCGAAATATTATACCTTGGACAAGCAGGACAGTACATTTATTGGTACAATAACCATAGATGTTCGAGTAACTACATTTTACGAATATTATTGGGTTTAATTTTAACTTATTTTTAATTTGCGTTACATTCGATAAATATGAGTGTCATGCTTTGTATTCCACTTTAAAGAGTATGAAAGTCAATGCAATAACAAGATATGAAGCATTTCATCATAGCCTGAATCATCATCATCAGAATGCAAAATATCCCACCATGAATAAAAATAAGTTAAAATTGAAATATAAGAGAAATGGTACAAAACTATGAAGCATTTTACTTCAACCCTCAGAAATTACAAACATTTTATTTTCTATTAGCTTGTTTAAAGTTAAAAAAGTTACAGCCTATGTAATTCCCACCCCCGGGCACAGATCTCTCATTTCTAAGAGGGTTTTAGGAAGGAATTATCCGCTGCGCTGTCACAATGCGTGTTGGCAAACTTCCCATGTCTTCGAAATATTTTTTCTTATTTCTCATACATACAGGTTTCCTCACGATCTTTTTCTTCTTCGTGAATAGTACGTGATAAATAAACTCTTAAAATTGCAATTAACAATTTCATTGGTGCCGGCGGGGATCGAACTCTAGTTGCTCGCGTACTTTTAAACTCACAGCGAGTGCTTAGCTAATAGCTTGTTTAACACTCTAATATTATAAAAAATTATGACACAAATTGTATGGATTTCATATCATATAATTTTATCTTATATTAAATTAACTATGTTTCAAATGATTCGGATCACTAATAGTGGATAACAAAATAGGGTGCATTACGCCATGTTATCATATATAAGCCGATATACTTTCAACTTTTATATATTGATATTCACAAAAAGTAAAGAATTTATTATATACATTAATCTTCTATGGAAAAAGTTGGGACGAAGTTAGGATTCATGCTGAATTAGGAATGCAAGCAACGTTACAATGGCTCAATCAAAACCTTCTTACTTTGAATATCTCAAAAACAAAATTTATGTTGTTTGCAAATAATAAACGAGCGCTAACTACTGAAAATTCATTTAAAATAAAAATACACACCTGTAAAAACAAAAGCTCAATTCAATGCAACTGCACATCTTTAGACCGAAATGACACAGTAAAATACTTAGGCGTAGTGTTGGATGAAAATCTGACATGGTGCCCTCATATTAATCAGTTAGCAGGGAAAACAAGAAGCTTGGTATATATATTCAAAAAACTAAGACACGTGGCAGACTATTCTCTACTTAAGACTGTTTACTTATCTTTGACACAGTCTATCTTGTCGTACTGTATTACCTCATGGGGTGGAGCCCGTAAAACTCATCTCATAAAATTAGAAAGAGCGCAGCGTATATTACTCAAAGTAATGACATTTAAACCATTTAGCTATTCTACAGATAAACTATATTCAGAATGTGACGTATTGACAGTTAGACAATTGTATATAAGAGACACTGTTATATTCCAACATGAAAAACTTACATATGATCACGAATTAACAACCAATCGCCGGAAAAATAAGGTCTGTCCTACTTGCCATTTTAAAACATATTTTATAACTAAATTTCAATGCTACTTAGGTCCTATGCTTTACAATAAAATAAATAAAATAATACAAATCTACTCACTTAACAAATATCAATGTAAAAACTACTATTATCTTGGTTAAGAACTCTAAATACAGAAGAAACTGAAAATTTCTTGCTCACTTTGAAATAACATTACACTAGAATAATTTAACTTTCTACTAAAAGTACCTTATCTATAATAATTAAAAATTATTCACTTATATAGCTATTTATATAACTATATTTAATTAAGTCTAAATGTAATTAAAAAAAAAACCTTTGCAAAAACCATGAATTAAATAATTATATAATATGTATTGACTGTTCACTGTACATTGCATAAGTTTTTGTTAAATACCTATAGAATTACTAAAATTATATATCATATATCTTTGCAATACTTCATTGTAACCTATCACCAAAAGAAATAGTTCTCTGACTTGTGATAACAATAATCATTTATTAAATTACAAATTAAGAAATTAAAAATGTTCCTATAAATAGTAGTCTAACCTTTCATACGCATAATAAGTTAGTATGACGGTAATCGCAAAAAAGTGATAATGTATTTACGAATTTGTAACGTAAAACATAGATTAGGTGAATCATAATATGCCGTATGCTTTTATAATTGTAAATAATGGTGCCTTTGGAAGTGACTAGTGTCTAAGATACAGGCTCGGCCTAGTTTAGACGCTAGTGTATAAAATTGTATAGATGAGTTATAACTGTTCAAATGTCTTTAAGGTAAATAATGTAATCCTTACTTGGTGTCAATAAAAATTATTATTATTATTATTATTATTATTATACATTTCTTATATAAATGCATACTCTTTTAATTACAGGAACAGCTCAAAATCGGATTTGCGCTTAGGAAGTGTGAGTGTGAATTTTAAAATTTGGTAGCTTATGATTTTGAATAAAAATTATCTCTAATTGAGATTCAAAGACAAGGCTGCAGATAAATTTCTTTTTGTGAAATATTTAGTGAAGAAAGAGGCTCTTACTTAGTCACTTGTGACGGTAATGCCGGCGTGGAGGACATAAACCTTGGCCAAGGTTCAGGTGTGCATCGCCCAGACACCAATGATCTGTGACACATCCCAGTTCTCCGATCTGAAAGCGACGAACGAATATAAATTAATACCGTGCGTATTACAATTACATAACCATAGTTTTACAATGGGCAACATCGTCTCTAATGGACAAAAGTTCTAAGCAAATGGATATACAACATGTAACATAATTAACGCACTTTGAGAAAGTAGTTTGTTCAGAATCGTTTAATGAATCGATTCCTATCATTTTTATTATAGGTAACTATTATCCCAAAAATAATTAAAACTGAAATGGATCGTAACGTAAGGCAATAAAACTTTTAAGAGTGCAGTTTTATTTGTATTATTACTAATTCTTTCATTCAATAAAAATAAAGAAAAATGAACTTTATTTCAAGCACGTTAAAGTCTTAGCGTTCGTGGGTTTGTACTGTGAGCACAACATTCTTCTGGAATTAGTGTAACTAATTTAATAAATAATCAGTGCATAAAAAATGTTTAACTAAAAATTCAGCGTATCTATTATGATTATAACATAATATACTAATTGGGGTGTCTGAGGGTGTGCGTTAATTACGTTACATATTGTATATTAAATCACGTCATCTTCATGATTTCTCATTCGATATATTAGGCTTATCTAATGAGCTCGGAAGAGTCCGTTGCACAAGTGGAGTTGAAGCCGTGGAGGAAAACGTGCCTTGTGTCTCTCATGCGCCTCACCTGAAAGGGAAAGTAGAAGGAAAACTCTTACCCCAAGAAAGGGAAGCGCTGGGGCGACCGGCGATGGTGGATACCATGGGATTTTAATTGGTGCGAGTCCGACATTACCCATCTTTGCCTGCGAGGCAGGTATGCGTAGGCAGTTCCCCATGTAAAAAACGGGGCTCATGGACTGCAATAGCAACCATAAGTTGCATTACGTCTTTGTGCTGTTTTACAAACAATTGTACTGACCGATGCAAGCGTGGCCATCTTCGCTAGGTTCATAGCCGGCGTCGCAGTCACAGAGAAAGCCGCCGTCGGTGTTGATGCAGACGCCGGGCGCACAGCGGTCGCGACGCTCCGCGCACTCGTCGACGTCCTCGCAAGCGTCCACCGCGTCGTGTGCCGCTGATGTACGCCGGTAACCTGGGCACAAATCACACTTCACCATGTGGACACAGGGTTCATCTCATAATAATTTATTTATAGACATTTCTATAGTTTGTATTATATATAATACATCATGTAGACGAGGGGTGGCCAACCAGTAGATCGTGATCGATTGGTCGATCGCGGCTATTAGTCCAGCCGATCGTGGCTGGATCGATATATTTCTAAAAGCCTAGTCTGGTCTAGATTTCTGGGCATTGGTTTACAACGCGAACTATCCAACTTTAAAGAAATGTGCTGAACAATTTCATTTAACGTTACGTTTTTCCTATTTATTAAATAAAAAATACTACATAATTGTATAATGAACTTTAATGTTTCATAATGATTTCTTATATTTACGCGAACACTACACATTGATTAAAACTACTTTTACGAATTTTATCGCGTTTATTTTACTATTATTTTTAATTCCCGACGTTTCGGGCGCTTTCCAGCACCCATGGTCACGGGGGACTGAGGTGACTGACGTCCCGATGTCATTGTTAAACCCGGAGTACCTTCAGCTTTATTTAATTATTGTTTATGGTCGCCCTGCCAGAAAGACACAATAGTTGAAAAATTGAAATTTTCATTTATGGGATAGTGAAATTGTTAATTAACCCAAGAAAAAATTTTGTTTTTTTTTATAAAATATAATTTTAATCGTTATTTATGATAAAACTGGATAGGCTTTACCAGAAATTGGAACGCTCCAGAGTCATTTATTACCTAGAAACGCGGATCCAATGTTTATTAATATACTGTTGCGCACCACAGTTAATGTCACTAGCGCCATCGATTATCGAATAGAAGAACTAAGCTTTCTAGATAGCTCCACACTCGAATTTTCTGCATTTAGTAGGTCGGGACTGGCATTTCCTGGAACATTCTAGATGTTTCAGTGGAAAAGGCATATATAAAGCCGTTTAGGGCCGCGCCCGGGGCACTATTGAATTGGCGTTACGAGCGTTTCGTTTGTATTAGTTTTTAGGTTCTAGCAATTTTTCTATCCACTAATTTTTATGTTAAGGCGCTACTTCTAGCGAACGACCTTTAGCGTTCAGTTCTATTGCACACATTGCATACGCCCTCACTACAATATATCGCGCAATATACGCCCAAATTTTAAAATATTTTCTTCATAAAATCGAATTTTAGTCCTTTGAAAAAATTTAATACATCAAAATGTTCAATAACAAATTGCCTATCCATTAGTGTCACTCGCAATTAGTTTCGTATTAGTGTATTAGTGTCATTGCTTACTTTATGAGGAGATGCATGTTATCAATAATTATTTCACATTTCTGTGGTTTAGTTGTAGGAAGATTCATCAAGTATTTACTCCTTTTAAAAAAAAGGAATCGGCTATTATGAAATCAAGATTATGTAGAAATTTAATAGATTTTTTATTAGTTGATAGATCTTTAAGCTTTCAGCTATATCATTAATTATTTTTTTTATTGTTTTCTTAATTAACCTTTAATCATTTTAAGTAAGAAATGTTTTCAATAACCTGTTCAAATGATAGGAAGTTTTAGACGTAGATATTAATTTTTATTATAATTATACTATATTTTACGGCTATATATTAATTATATAATTATATATAGCCGTGTAGTGGCGGTTAAGAATATCCACTACCCCATATCTTCCCGTGGGTGTCGTAAGAGGCGACAGAGGGAGACAGGCAGGAGATGGGCAGCAGCATCTTCCTGATAACAGCAACTGTACGACAAAAAAAAACTGCGGTTGCCAACCCGCTCGCCAAGCGTGGCAACTATGGCAATATACCCCCCATGAACAATTACACAAATAGACGGCCCCCAGTCCCCGGCGGCCCCGCTATTCCTGGCTACGGTGGCGACCACGGTAACGGCGAGGCAGGGGGTGCTAAGAATCCCCGGTGGAGGTTCGGTTGCCACCTACGACGACTCGACCTGGCAACATTTAACGCACGCACACTGAGGACTTACGAGAAGATCCTGGAGCTGGAAGAAGAGATAGACAAGTTGCGCTGGAGTATTATAGGATTATCCGACGTCCGAAGAGAGGGGGAGGACACGGTGATTCTCGAATCCGGCAACTTGTTCTATCACCGGGAGGGCGACCATCTGTCCCAAGGAGGTGTCGGATTTATCGTCCACAAGTCTCTCGTCAACAACGTTGTAAAGATTGTGAGTGTGTCGACGAGGGTCGCGTACCTGATACTCAGAATCACCAAACGGTATTCGCTGAAGGTCATACAGGTTTACGCACCAACCTCGGCACATTCCGATGAGGAGGTGGAGGAAATGTATGAGGATATTTCCAAAGCCATGCATTCCTCCAAAACCCACTACACGGTGTTGATGGGAGACTTCAACGCAAAACTAGGCACAAGAGAAAACGGTGAGCTGAAGTTAGGGAAATTTGGAGTAGGGCAACGGAACCGAAGGGGCCAGCAGCTGGCCGACTTTATGGAGAAAGAGGGACTCTTTATGATGAACTCTTTCCTCCAGAAGCGGCCCCACAGGAAATGGACCTGGTCGAGCTCCGACGGTTCGACAAAAAATGAGATTGACTTCATTATGACGACCAGACGCCAACTGTTCAGTGATGTCTCAGTGATCGCAAAGGTGAAAACGCAGCGATCACCGAATGGTTAGAGGCACACTGAACCTAAACGTTAAGTTGGAGAGGTCTCGTCTAATGAAGTCAACGCTCCGTCCCCCTCGTGCTCTAATCCAAAATCCCGAAAACTTTCAGCTCGAGTTACACAACCGCTTTCAGTGTCTACAAGATTGCAATGCAGTGGACGATATGAATGACAAGCTCGTGGAAACTGTCCATGCGGTCGGAGCTAAGTTCTGCAAGACCCGCCGCAGAAGAACACAAAAACTCTCCGATCACACTCTTAATCTCATGGCTGTTAGTCGGGATATGAGGCTGCAATCGTCTACAGATTTGATAGCATACAGGCAACGGAACAGACAGATCTCCAAATGCATGCGGCGAGACTTACGCAACTTTAATACTGCTCGTATTAAAGAAGCGATCGAGCGGAACCAGGGCTCCAAAGTCTTTGCCAGAGATCTGTCTGCCCGTAAGAGCCAACTGTCAAGGCTGAAGACTGAGTGTGGCAGCATCGTTTCCGGGACACCTGAGATTTTGAGTGAGATTAGAGGTTCTATGGGCAGCTGTACACATCATCGTTGGAGCCACACGCAAGTGTGAGTAACGATCCAAGAGCAAGTCTTATCCGACACTATTCCGATGATATCCCGGACGTCAGTCTAAGCGAGATTAGAATGGCTCTCCAGCACCTTAAAAACGGCAGGGCCCCAGGCGAGGATGGAATTACAGCGGAGCTTCTGTAAGCGGGTGGAACACCGGTACTTGAAGTCCTTCAGAAGCTCCAGCAGAAGCTCTTCAATTCTTCCGAAAGGCGACAACGCTCTCTTGAAGAACTACAGACCGATTTCTCTTCTGACCCGCGTCTACGTGCTGTTTTCGAGAGTCATTACGAATCGTCTCGCACGCAGACTCGACGACTTCCAGCCTCCCGAACAAGCCGGTTTCCGAAAAGGCTTCAGTACCATAGACCACATACATACCCTGCGGCAGATTGTACAGAAGACTGAAGAGTACAATTTGCCACTTTGCCTGGCGTATGTGGACTATGAGAAAGCCTTTGATTCCGTCGAAATTTGGGCGGTGCTGCAGTCCCTACAGCGGTGCCAAGTTGACTGTCGGTATATCGAAGTGCTGAAGTGTTTGTACAGTAGGGCTACGATGGAGTACAGAACCAGAGCTCGAAACCTATCCAACTGCAGAGAGGTGTAAGACAGGGTGACGTTATATCCCCGAAACTCTTCACCGCTGCTTTGGAATACGTTTTCAAGCTACTGGACTGGAAAGGATACGGTATTAACATCAATGGCGAGTACATCACTCACCTTCGATTTGCCGACGATATAGTCCTTATGGTAGAATCGCTGGAGGACTTAAGCACTATGCTCAATGACCTCAATAGTGCCTCCCAACGGATAGGTCTTAAGATGAACATGGACAAAACAAAGATCATGTTTAATGTCCATGTCACACCTATGCCGGTAGTTGTTGGGAGCACTATGCTCGAAGTTGTTGACGAGTACGTTTACCTGGGACAAATAGTCCGACTAGGTAAGTCCAACTTCGACCGAGAGGTCAATCGACGGATTCAACTCGGCTGGGCAGCGTTCGGGAAATTACGACACATATTCTCGTCAGGTATACCTCAATCTCTGAAAACTAAAGTGTACAACCAGTGCGTGTTGCCAGTGATGACTTACGGATCAGAGACGTGGTCCTTCACTGCTGGCCGTATGAGGACGCTCAAGGTCGCTCAGAGAGCTATGGAGAGGGCTATGCTCGGAGTTTCTCTGCGTGATAGACTCAGAAATGAGGATATCCGCAGTAAAACCAGAGTGACCGACATAGTCCAACGGATTAGTAAGCTGAAGTGGCAATGGGCCGGCCATATAGCTCGAAGAACCGATAACCGATGGGGAAGAAATGTTCTCGAGTGGCAGCCTCGTACCGGTAGGCGTAGTGTAGGGCGACCCCCCACTAGATGGAGTGACGACCTGGTAAGATATGCAGGAAGTCGATGGATGCAGGTGGCTCAGGACCGTGCTTTGTGGCATTACTTGGGGGAGGCCTATGTTCAGCAGTGGACTTGTGAAGGGCTGTGATGATGATGATGATGATAATTATACTATATTATATATTATATTGTATTATAATTAAATATTATACTTTTAGTTACCGTACGACTAAGAATTATCAATTTTAAACAAATTAATTTATTGGTTATGTAGCCTTTAATTAAATTTTATTTTTGAAGTGACAACTTCTTTAGCGGCGTGTACACTTTTTTTGTAATGGGTAAAAATGAAAATTCGTAAGACGGATGGAGAGTAGACAGCCAGCGCGGCGTAGGAGAAGATAATTATTTTAATGTAACATAAATTGTCATGTTTGTGTACGATAGCGCAATAAATAAATATTGTATTTTACCACATAAATGATAGTACTTTTATACTAATTAAAGCAATTCGTGCAAAATTAATTTTAACATTAATATTAATTTTTCACTTCTGCCGGCACTCCCGTCGTTTTTTTAAATTAATAATCAGGACGAGGACGAAGTACTCACCCTCCGGGCACTTGCACACGTAGGAGCCGACGACGTTCTCACAGGCGTGTGGGCAGGGCGACGGCTCGGCGGCGCACTCGTCCAGGTCGCGGCAGTGTGCGCCGTCCGTCGCCAGCCGGTAGCCGTACGGGCACGTGCAGCGGAACGAGCCCGCCGTGTTGTGGCAGCGGAACGAGCACGCCGCGCGCCCCTCCGCGCACTCGTCCACGTCCACGCACGTCTGCACACAGCGTCATATATTATGTAAGCCAAACACTTTACATTTTAACCCTTCAATATACACACGGTCGGATCCAACTAAGGCGATATTCCGTCAATTTCCAAGCGGTCGGAACCGACCACACCCACCCACAGCACTTTAAACCATAAAAACTTAAATTTAGAGACTACTCGTCTATGAAGATTTTTGGTATTATAGGCTCCACGTGAAATTTTCCATCCTCTAATGCAATAAAAACTCATTAAGTCTATGGTATCTATTTATAATCTACGTTCACTTCGTATGCCTGTTATGTGTGGCGTGTTATTGTGTAGATTTTAGGATTTTTCTAGTGTGTTATTAGTGTTTAGTATAGTGTTTTATTACAACATTGTTATAAAAGTTTTTTTGTAAATATAATTTATCTTTGTACGTAAATAATTTCGAGTAATATATAGAAATAATTGTGATATTAACGCTGTTGTCCTGCGCTGGGTATGTACACTTTTTACTATGAAAATACAATTAAAATCTATTTGTAATGAAGTAAAAGCACTAAAACAAGTAATATAACATAATAAATAAAAGAAACAAGTAATAAATTAAAATTTATAATGAATTTTATTGAAAATAAATGTACGACAAATACCATGTTAGCGTTTTAGCGACGCCACGTTATGCGAAGCGCGCGATCGGTGTCGAACATTTTAGCTAGGGCTGAGGAGTGAAAGAAAAAGTTTGCATATAACCTGCACATACAATAGATTTCTTGTTGCCTGTGTAGGATCATAAAATGGCACAGGTTTATTCCAATACAATCTCCGGTCCATATGCGCGTGCACACCTGCACAGTAGATCGTAGCGTGTATGAGCACCATAACAAACGGGCACAAAAGTGTGTCACGACCCTTCTAATGGCCTATAGAGAAATCCACATCTGTTTTATAACTTGCTCCTCCCACATACGCCCACCGTGTTGTAGCAGCAGAAACAGGACAACGCGCGCCTCTCTACCCATCCGTCCACGTTCACTCATGTCTACACTCACCGTGATATCTTATAAAGGGACTTAAGTGTGAACCTAATCTAACCTAACCTCGATCCTCGATCTTAAAAATTTGAACACACAAAAAGTCTAAAATATTTTAAATAATCATTTCATAAAATAATTCATCTATTATATATGTACAGAGATCTTAAATCTGATTACGATAAATTTGTAAATCCTCCCATCCTCCATCTCAATTTGTAAATTTGGAAAAACCTGTAGCGAGCACAAAAGTTTTTTACAGGTCGATGAAAACGGAGAAGCATCTAGTATAGATGTTAAAGGGAAGTTCATACTCACTTGCTCCGGGCCTTGCGTGAATCCGAAGTTACAGCGACACTCGTAGCCTCCAGGCGTATTTGAACAGGTTCCGTTCCCGCAAATTCTCGGATCTTGTGCACACTCATCCGCGTCCACGCACACGAGTCCAGAGCTGTCCAGCACGTACCCATCCGGACACTCGCACCGGAACGAACCATCCGTATTGATACAATGCCCGCCCTTGCATACATCAGGACGCACTTTGCATTCATCCAGGTCCTGAAAATATGAAAAAATCGTGTTAATTTTAAAATGGAAACATTTTATGGGATCACAGATAAGAAGAAAAGGCGCGGTATATTTGATAATACACACTGTATGAAACACTAATCTATCCATCCATTACAGGCTATAAAACTTTACTGCTGAACATAGGCCTCACTCATACATCGGCTCATGGCGGGATATTGCCATGGTTGCCACGTTTGGCAAGCGGCCAAACTGCAGTTTTTTATTATTTTGAGCTGTTATCAGGAAGACGCTGCTGCGCATTTCCTGTTTAATATTCCATTTTTAGCCTCTTAAGACACCTTCGGGACGGCATGGGATAGTGGATATTCTTAAACCGCCACTATACTCTTATAACCATAGAATACTATAATACATACATAATAGAACGAGGGAGTGGGCGGAGCCCGCGTAGCCACTATAGTCAACCAAATCTAAAAATACCTTTTGACGTTTCACATTAATCATTCCAAAATAACTTTGCACAAGCGCACTCACTCGATTTAAAATAACCTTTTACGTAAATCCGAAGAATTATGTAGTTATCTATATTTCATTACAACGTGTATAGTTTTTTATCACTAATTTAAATTTGAATCTTTCAAACAAAGCAAAATATTAAAAAATAACATGTATCAACTTTTTTTACTTGACGGCGTTTCAATGATATGTCGCTATGTACATTACCGTAGTGTTTGGATGATTAAAATTCATTTTTATGCGAATAATCGACAAAATATTAAAATAATCGGTAAAAAATTCAAATAATCGAATCATTAATTTTTTTAATGTATTATTTGTTTAAATTAAATTTTATTTTCAAAGTTCCTTAAAATTACATAAATTACGAATAAAACAAGTTTATTGTTTTTACTTTGTCAAAGTAATTTTGTGTAGGCAAAAAAACTCATATACAAGGCTGTGCTAAAATAACCACTACATAATTTCAATATCCCACCATTTCGGTACCAGTTACTCGACTCCACAGAGTCAGTAATTCACTCTTGTGGCGATGTATACGCCTTTACAACAAAATCCCAGAAAATATACAAAATTTGACGTAAGTACACAAAGTTCAAAAACTTTATTAAATTAAGTTTGTATAAAAAGGGTTATTTTAATATTAAGGAATTTATGGATGATAATAATCCCTGGGAAGGGTGATCGCTCCAAGCTATTCCTAATTTGTTTTGTGTTGTTAATTGTAACACGCATGATTGTAAGCTCTTATTTTTTTTTAACTAGTCGCGTTACAGGACAGAGGTTTTTTTGCGAACCAGTGGAAAATAAAAAAGTGTGTTTCTATAAGTATTATTCATAATCTATATTGAATAAAAAAGTAATTTTGTGATTTTGTGCTTGCCGTCTTATTTTGTGACTCGGCTTTAACTTTTTGGACTGTTTCTTTTATATTCGTTGAAGCATGTGCCCATGTCACATAAGATGATTGGGCAAAAGTGGTAGAAAAACAAAAAATTGATTATGGATGACTTTGATTTTGGCATTATTGAAAATCAAATAATTCTTATTATAAACAACGAAATCTCTACTAGTTGTACTGAAAGTGATTGAATAAATTTATTTTTAATCTAGTTTCGATCTTAAATTTTTATAAATGTGCCTCTAGAAATAAGCAGTAACAACAAATACAAAGAAACTGAGAAATCTTGTGTTTTAAATTATCCTTTTCAAATTTATTCTGGTATTATTCAAACCAAACTGTAAATGATTACCAACTCTAAATAATAGATATTGATTTTTTTAAGAATCGAATATTGTACGTTCCCATTTTTTGGTTGGCGTGCTTGATGCAATAAGTCTGACAGCTGTCAAAATGTATTTCTTAGATTTGGTTGACTATAAATGTCACTAATACGTCATGTCACACGTATAAATGTCAACACGAGATGTGTTTTGACGTTGCAATCATTTCCAAATTTCGTATGCAAATTATTTAGAAAATGCCAAATTGCACGCTATTTACAAATAAATATGTATTAAAATTTAATGACGATCTTGAACATTAATCAAAAAGTCTAAAATGTGTAAATTTACTCAGTCTGTCAACAGAGCGAACCGGGTTTGGCGATGCCAATCCTCGTATAAAATAAAGCTGACAGCCATTCTATTGTGTATTATAGTATTCTATGGTTATAACTTACTAACTAGTTACTAATTGGTAGCATAGGATACTTACGAAGGGCTTTGCACTGCTGTATTCTGGCTTGAAGAGTACAGACAGCCAGTTTAATTACATGCTATGAAGCATACCATCTTAGTCTTCATGAGTGCCAACGCATCTGTAGCTTTCTTTCTTTAAAGTTGATTGCGGGTAATCATGGTCTGCAGTGGCCACTTACCGTCAGATGGACTGTAAACTCGCTTTTTACTTTTTTTATAGCATAGAGTGACAAACGAGCACACAGTCCACCCGATGGTAAGTGGTTGCTGTGGCCCATACACATCTACATCTATCCTCGATTACGAATCAAAATGCAGATGTGTTGTCACCCGTGAAGGACTAAGATGGAAATGCCTCGTTTCCAGTAAAAAGGGTCTCCAGTCCTCTATACTCACCATACGAAACACAGCAGCACTATTTGACGCTGGTATTCTGTGAGAACGTGGTCCTTCCCCGGTCGAGCCGACCCACCCATTCCTGCTGCAACTATGCTACTAAAATAGCTGTAGTATGGCTCTACAACGTAAAAAACTACTTCAGTTTCATAAAACCAACATAAAATTAAAATAGCTAAAAGAACTCGGAATATCAATAACCATAACATCATCAGAACTTTAAGAACGTCAGCAATTAAATATAAATCCAAGAAGAATTAAATGAAGTGAAATCAAGGAAATTTAATTTAAAGGATTTATCCCACAAACCTGAGTCAGATTTGGACGACCCATTCCACCTTGACAAATTCTCAAGAATTCCGCAGAGTCTGGAGTGGGGCAACGCTCGCAATATCTGCCCCAAGCAGCTCCTGAAAAGAAAACATTAACTTGTCAAACTAAAGATAACGAAATCTAATGACTTCTTATGTTTACTTGAATACAACACGTTGAATGAAAATAGTTTTTTTGTGAATTTTTATAGATTGCTTTACAGCACACATGCCACGGGAAGAACTAAGGTGTTTCTTGCCTTGATGTCACAATTGGCTTGAGCTACCTTCAGTTTATAGAATTTCAACATTAAATTTCAATTAAAATCCGTATAATTTGTATTTACAAGCACAAAAAGTGGGGAAAAAATACGTCCCAAGTCTTAAAATACCTTTACGAGAGAAACACTAGCAGAGTGAAACTAGAGACCGCAGCACCACCTATCCATATCAAAAGAGGAGTACGGCAAGGCGATCCTCTGTCGCCTCTAATATTTATAGCAGTACTAGAATCGATTATCGGAAAACTAAATTGGGATAAAATAGGTATACGCATAAAAGGGAAATATATTTGCCACTTGAGGTTCGCCGACGACATTGTTCTTATATCAACAGCATAGAGCTAGAATCTATGTTACATACATTACAACAAGCAAGTAGAGAGGTAGGACTAGAAATTAACCTGAGAAAAACAAAACTCATGACAAATGCCACAAAAAACTCTATATGTCTTGACAACACGCCAGTAGAGTATGTCGAGAACTATATATACTTAGGCAAACAAATTTCGTTTCAAAAACAAAACAATGATACAGAAATTGATAGAAGAATAATAAAGACATGGAAAAAATTTTGGAGCCTAAAGGAAATTCTAAAAAGTCAGATGCCAATGAAAATCAAGAGCAAAGTCATAGACTCATGTCTTTTGCCAACATTAACCTACGCATGCCAAACTTGGAAGTTCACACGAAGAGTCAAAAATAAAATCACATCTTGTCAGCGTAGCATGGAAAGAAGCGTCACAAAGATTAGAAAAATTCAAAAAATTCGTCACACTATCATCAGGCAAAAGACAAGAATAACAGATGCCCTCACGCACGCTCTAAAGTTAAAATGGAGGTGGGCAGGACACGTAGCAAGAATGAGCGACGAGCGATGGACAATTCGCATAACGTCATGGCCAGGTCCTACAGGCACTCGGAAAAGAGGAAGACCTACATATAGATGGGCAGACGATATCACCCGAGTCGTAGGCAAAAACTGGATGTCGGAAGCCAAAGACCGAGACCGCTGGCGTTCTCTGGAGGAGGCCTTCACCCTCACTACTTGAGGGGTTCATGCATGGTATTTTTTAATCTTAAATCTTTATTCTATTTTAAATCTATAATTTTATTTTCTTATAACTTTATTTTTCTTATTTTTATTTTCATTTTATAATATTTTTTTAAATATATTGAAAACCAAAATTTTTATGTATATTAAAAGAAATGAATGAGTTCTAACAAGCACATTTAATTTTTTATTTGATTTAATTTAAATAAATTTAAATTAATATATAATGAGAGACTGAAATGAAAATAAAATTTGTAATAAAAGGGACGAAAAATTTGTATATATAACTATTCACGTATGAGATAGTAATAAAAACAACACAACAGTCCATTTATAACTTGTTATTACTGCAAGAAAATGTTATGTGAAATGCATGAAATAAAAGGCTTTTTTATTTTTTATTTATTTATTTATAATTTGTATTATTCAACGACAAACGAGCCCACAATCTACCTGATGATGGCCAGTTATCGCTGTGTCTTATAGACATCTACAATTATCTTCAATTATAAATGGATCTCCATTTTGATTCTTAATTGAAGATGATAGCAATTCTTAACTGAGAACTAACGTTGTCAACACTAAGGGCTGAGATGGAATGCCTCGTTTCCAGTAAAAAGGATCTCCGTTTCCCTACACTCACCATACGAAACACAGCGGCATTGAGGTGCAATTTTACGCTTGTATTTAATGAGAGCATTATCCTACCCGGTTGAGTGGACCCATTCATACTAAATTCATATCATAGCTGCTAAGTCATAACTTACCATTTCGCTAAAAGATAATATATAATGTATGACAGTGTACGCACCTTCAGAGCAGCAACAATCCGGCCTGCTGAGTTGCAAAGGCCGCGCCTTGTGGCAGCGACCGCTCTCCCACTCGTCGTAGCAAAGCTCTTTCCTCTCGTCCACACATATGGCGGCCGTCTTATCGAACCTCCAACCAGGAGGACAGTCGCATCGGTAGCTGGAATAAGAAAACATAGGGTAATAGAGACAAATATAATGGACGTTATAAGGCTTCTTGTGGTTATTGATAGAATCAGGCGTTACTTTGCGAAAATTCATTATAATAAAGATATTAATATTGTTACGAGCTTGAGGTTCGTGACAATAAAAACTGCCGATTGAATTAACAAAATTTACACTTTAATTCACTTTACACAATTAAATTTAAAACACTAATAATTAATCACACTGATTCACTTTATTTCGCTCCGAAGCTTCGCTTGTCTCGCCAAATTCAATACTTCTTCGATCGCATCTTGCAGCTCTGACTTCAAGGTCGCGGATGCTGTCGATGAATGCCTGCACCAGGTTCCCTTCAATGAGCGCAGGTACAGACTGGTATGCTTTTCGCTCCAGCTTCTCCGCCTCTAGAGCCCACTGCTGCAGGTTTTCATGATGCGCTGCACGCGATCTTTAACTGCGCGCGAAAGACGTGTTCCAGGTGAGCGTCGCCATATCTCGCCTCCAACGCCTCAAGGAGCTGCTCGTAGGTCACTTTCTTACCGAGAGCTTCCAACACAGTTAAGGCTTGGTCGCGCAGGCCTAGGGTGAGTGCAGTCATGGCTTGGCTTTTATTCCAGCCGTTCGCCTCCATGGCGGCCTCGAACTGGATATTGTAAGCTGACCAGGAAGAAGTCCCGTCGAACGGTGGCACTTTGAACCCACGCAGCGAAGGTTGTAGCTACTACGGAAGCTGTAATTCCATCCCCCAGTTTGAGGTCGTCCAGCGTTTTCTTCACGTCAGCCTTCACGTTGTCAACCCGATTGTTCACTTGGTTGATTCTGGTTTCAGCTTTCTCGATTCGGGTTTCAGCTTTCGCGATTTGGGTTTCAGCTTCTGCCAGGCGGTTGTCATGCTGAGCAACCCTATCCTTCACCTCCTTGATCTCCTTCTCGAAGGTAGCGTGAAGATCCTTGAAGAGCATCTGCTCTTCTAACCGACGGGTCTGCAACTCTTGTCCGTCTCGTAGCTGCTCTTCCAAACGACGGGTCTGTTCCTCTTGTCCACCCCTTTGGTTTCCCGCAGCTGCTCTTCCAAACGACGGGTCTGTTCCTCTTGTCCACCCCACAGCTGCTCTTCCAAACGACGGACCTTTTCCTCTTGTCCGCTCTGCAGCTGCTCTTTTAACTAACGGACCTGTTCCTCCTGTCGGCGAGCCTGTTCCTCCTGTCGGCGAGCCTGTTCCTCCTGTCGGCGAGCCTGCTCCTGCAGCATCACCATCAGAGCATCTAAGTCAGGTGCTGCAGATGTAGGACCTACTGACGGGCCTGCAGCCGGTGGCTGGCCCTCCGACGTCTGCGGCGTTGCACCACCAAATCGTCTCTGGTCCGTCTCCTGCTGGCGTTGACTTCAGATACGGACACTCTCCGTTTCCTCCTTAGGTAAAATCGGCATGATTTAATCCCACTTCTGATACCAATTGTTACGAGCTTGAGGTTCGTGACAATAAAAACTGCCGATTGAATTACCAAAATTTAAACTTTAATACACTTTACACTTATTAAAACTTAAAACACTAATAATTAACCACACTGATTCACTTTATTTCGCTCCGAAGCTTCGCATTGTTCGATCGCATCTTGCAGCGCCTTTAAATAGACATTATCACAGAAACATCCAGAATATTCAAGTAAATACGCGCGCCAATCGACTAGGCGCCAAAAGTTCGAGTGTCGGGCTTCTAGAAGCTTAGTTCTTCGTGTCGATACTAGATGGCGCTGTCGGTTGAAAGATTAGTGATGTCATTTTCTGGAAAGCTCTCCTCGCTCCGTTACTCGACACAGATGGCGCTAGTGTCGGGTACATGACGTCAACTTAGGCGCGCAACAATATTTAATTCGCAACCATCCGCTCAATTAAATACAACAATGTGTCTTACCTGGATTGAAGAGCACCTCACACCCTCCCTCAATTGCATGCACTAATCCCGTTACCACTAGTCCCAGCACCACTACTCCCAGCACCACTACTACCAACACCACTACTCCCGGCACCACTACTCTCAATGCCACTATTCCAGGAGACACACCATCGATGATAATACGACACGTGTTTCGCCACTACACGAGGCATCTTCAAGTGATGTGTATCTCTTCTTGTGGTGCCATAACTCATCTGTACATGGCGGTAAATAATATATATATATATATATATATATGTGTGTGTGTGTGTGTGTGTGTGTGTGTGTGTGTGTGTGTGTGTGTGTGTGTGTGTGTGTGTGTGTGTGTGTGAGTGTGTGTCACGTCACGGTCACAGTCAACACGCATACGTAGTTAGAGTGCAGTACGCGCAAAACATCGTCCCTAGCAAACTAGAGTGAAATGTAAGTTTGTATATATAAAAGAGAGAGAGAGATAGAGAAGGATAGATAGAGAGAGACAGAAAGAGACTCACCCGCCATTGAAGTTGTGACAGTCACCGCCAGCGCACACGTAGGGCAACTCGCGGCATTCGTCGCGGTCTACGCAGCGGCGGCCTGCTAGTCGCCAGCCGACGCCGCACGCACACTCGTACCTGTACAACAAATAAACCATAAGCACTTACTCCTTTAGAGTTGTAATAATGTATCGAAATGTCGATGTTATCGAGATGTGAATATCGATATTGAATGAACCCAATTTACGTATCTAACGATACTAATAATAACTCTAAGCAAAAGCTTTAGCTATCTATGCCAGTTGGTACGTCTTTGATAAGCCTTATTATAAGCCACCTTACTTCCATTAAAAAAAACTCATCCGCGATATTCGATCCAGATCCAGAAGAGAAAATTTCTTATTGCTTACAGTACAACTTTAAGATTGCAATTCTTAAACCCATAAGTTACTATAAAAATAGTTTTCTTTATCAAGCGTAAAAATCTCATGTTATAGACATGGGTATATTCCGTTTCAGAGGGGATTTGCATCAAACCTCACATTTGACAGGCTAGTTGTCGATCACATTGCCGTTCGTCTTAAGCCTTTAACACTGAAGCCCGTCGCCTGTCCAAATGTTACACATCTGAAGTAAACAAGATGTTTATACCACTACCAGCGGAAGACATAACACTTTTATGGCATTAACCACGGTTGCATCTTACACACGGTGAGCACATGGGATGTTTTTATAGAATAAGGGCGAATAAACGAGCATATAGTCCAGCTGACGGTAAGTGGGTGCTGTGGCCCATAGACATCTACATTTATCCTTGATTAAGAATCAAAACGCAGATGTGTTGCCACCCGTGAGGACTAAGATGGAATGCCTCGTTTCCAGTAAAAAAGGGTTTCCGGATCTCTACACTCATCATACGACTACAGCAATACTAAACTGTTATTTTACGCTGGTATTCTGTGGATTAGTAAGTGTAAGTAGAAGTGGCATGGGCCGGCTATATAGTTCGAAGAATCGACCACTGATGGGGAAAAAAGGTTCTCGAGTGGCAGCCTCGTACCGGTAGGCGCAGTGTAGGGCGACCCCCCACTAGATGGAGTGACGACCTAATAAGACATGCAGGAAGTCGGTGGATGCAGGTGGCTCAGAACCATGCTTTGTCGCGTTCCTTGGAGAAGGCCTATGTTCACCAGTGGATTTGTGAAGAGATGTATGAATGATTCTGTAAGTGTGATGCTTCCCCGGTTAAGCCGACGCATTTGTGCTATAACCATAATAAAGCTGCAGCGTGGCTCTATCGCGTATGAAAATACCAGCACGCCAGCGTATTAGGCCAAGCTTTCCATATCCTATGGCCTCAATAACCTTGCGTTTGTATGGGCAGCAGTGTCAAATGGGTGTCAATTGATGTCGTGGTACTTCGATCGTCAATCTGTCTGCCTGAAAAGGCCCATTATATCCAAGGGACTTTCATGTGCCGAAAAAGGAGTAATTGTAGGTCTCCATTTCTGCCCTGGCTATTTCATGCATTATTATGTTCCGATCTGAAGGGAAAATAAGAGAATCCACTCCTCCATATTATCCAATGGGCGTCGTAAGAGACGACGGAGGAATTTAAAATAATAATGAAAAACTGCGATCGCCAATTTACCTCCTGAGCTAAAGTTGGGCTATTTCATAATCCACGGGAAGGCCTTTTTGAAGAACACACAGTCCACCTGATAGATTCTGAGGCCCAAAGACATCTACATTTATTCTCGATTATGATTCAAAATGCGGATGCGTTGTACTCTGAGGACTGAGATGGAATGCCTCGTTTTCAATAGAAAGAGTCTCCCGTTCTCTACACTCACCATACGAAACACATCAGCGTAAAACTGCTATTTTACGCTGGTATACTGTGAGAGCGTGGTCCTACCCGGGTCAAACTGAAGCATTTGTGCTACAACCATAATATAGCTGCAGCGTGGCTCTACCACGTTTAAACGTGACACGCCTGTGTTCGACAGTGAACTTTCGATAGGATATAAAGGACAATCATGCTAAATTGAAGTTCTTTTACGTGGTAGAGCCATGCTGCTGTTATATTAGTAGTATAGTTGTAGCACGAATGGGTCGGCTCGTCCGGGGAAGGACCACGCTCTCACAGAATACCAGCGTGAAATAGTAGCTTAATGCTGCTGTATTTCGTATGGTGAGTGCAGAGAACCGGAGACCCTTTTTACTGGAAACGAGGCATTTCATCTTAGTCCTCACGGGTGACAACGCATCTGCATTTTGATTCGTAATCGAGGATAGATGTAGATGTCTATGGGCCACAGCAACCACTTACCATCAGGTGGACTGTGTGCTCGTTTGTCACCCTATCCTATAAAAAAAAAAAAAAAAAAAAAAAATTGAAGTCCGTAGTGTCTGTCTATCCCTCAAGACGACAGGCTGTTTATAATGATATGATTGTGATTAAGATATTTAAAAAAGGAGTGCGGAGTAATGTAGTGGTGCGCTCACCCGCCGTTAGTGTTGGTGCAGGAGGGCGCGCCGTCGCGGCCGCAGGGCGCGGGCAGCTCGCTGCACTCGTCCACGTCGCGGCAGTTGCGCGCGTCCGCGGTGAGCGTGTAGCCGGGCGCGCACTCGCAGCGGAACGAGCCGGCCGTGTTGCGGCAGCGCCCGTTGCGGCACACCATGCCGCCCTCGCGGCACTCATTGATGTCTGCACAACGTCACGGTTTTTTATTGTTTTATACATTTATTTTATTCGTGACACCGACGTCTATTATACATTTCACATATTACAAAATTATAAGTTTACATAGATATTAAAAGGTTTTCATATATGCAAATTAAAACGTATATCGACCACACAAACAAAAAATACAAAAAATGGAGCAAAATACCTAAACATTTGCGGCACGCATAGAATGGGGGATGAAAAACTGAGGCAAAGAGTCAGTTAGTTTATAACCTTGAGTTGTTATCAAGAAGATGCTACCGTCCACCTCCTGATTTGCGTGCGTCTATCGCCTCTTACGACACGCACGGCGTAATATGCGATAATGAATATTCATACACCGTCACTACACGGTACCTAGTGTAAGTCACTCAGCGATATTTAATCAAGGCTCAGTTTAAATTCTCTGACATATCTTTTTCGATTTTTTCTTTTGTTGAAAAAAAATAGTCGACTTAAAAGCACGTTTAAATCACGCTCATGCGGAACTTCCAGCGGATTATTGTGCGGTATGTTTTACTTAGCATAAAATTTATAATTTTTCAATAAATAAATATTTATTGAAATATAAAGGCCCGCATCCAACAGGCTCTCCGATCCGAATCGAATCAAATCGCAGAAAATTGCCTCCTATATATTTACTATGAAACTGCGTCCATTAGCAACAAGTCGCTGCGCACCGAATTGAATCAAGGCGAATTTCTTTCCCGATGAGATTCGATTCAGTTCGGCGCGCCTCAGGCGACGCGGAGAAGTGTATGCACTCCAACGTATTTTTATTAATTTCTATTATGAATGAAGAACTTTGGATAAACGAAAGTACTGAAAAAATTTAACAGGATCCATTTTAAAATCGGGACGTAAATGATGAAATTCGCCATAGTTATTTTCATATTAAATGTCGTGTATCCAGTATTTGGGAGCACACCGTTTCCTTTTTCTATTCTGCTCTGCTTCATCAAAAAGTATTTGAAGTAAAAATATCTCCTCATCCGAGCTGTTCATGACGCAAAAACGACCTAATTTGATGAAAATTTTGCAATGAATGAGCGATTCGATTAGATTCTTCAGAGATGGACGCACAAGGAATAAATGCGACTCGCTTCTATTCGACGCGTTTCTAGTGTAGGCGACGCCAGGCTTAATAGTGAATACAGAACAATAGAACTTTAATTAGTAACATTAATTAGAATCTTTTAAATTTCAAACAAAACGTTAAATCCTTTGATCAAGAAATATAAAAAAATACTTGACATAGTCATCATACAATTTATTGTACATTTTTAGCTTGAGCTGTATTTTTAAAGTCACTTCACAATTGCTAAAATAATAAGACCGTTGTGAATTCAGGTTTGATAAATTATTTTGCATATCCAGCATCTGGATCATACAAAACTTCTGTAAATCGAGTCTCGTTGCACCTTTGGTTTCGTAAATTTTTTTTTTAAAACGTTACCCCTACACTAGGATTTTCTCCTGTATCGTGGGGGCAGTTTACAAACATAAATTGTACAAGGACAAACATCCAGACCCGGAACAATTATTTGTAGGCCATACAAATACCTGTTCCGTGCGGGATTCGAACCAGCGACCCCAGCGCAGTCAGTCATTACTAAGCCATTGCGCCACGGAGTCGTCTCAATTAAATTTAGATTGATGTTGTAATTCTTGTACAGAGAGATCACTGATGCCTTCGTTACTCTGACACGATTTTAGTCTTTATAATCATTTAGTATTCTACAACTTTTCAATTAAAAAGTGGGTATAACTCATTTGTACTATAAAATAATGAACGATACCTACACGGATCTCGTACCTATGTCCCTTGTATCGTAATGCACTATTAATACCCGACGCGACGTTTCGAGTAATTTACAGCACTCATGGTCACGGGAGACTGAGGTGTTCGATGATGTGTGACCTGATGTCATAGTTAAACCCGGGCTACTTTTAGCTTTTAAATATTATTTTTTGGTCTGATCTGCGCAGAAATAGCTTGCAATATCTTCAAGTCTTGCATCAGTATGCTTGGGTTAACACTTAATTTTATTAATTATAGGATCCCAAGCGGGAGGTTCAACCCAGCCATTTTCTGTATAGAAATATGAATATATTTTTATAATTTCAATATCCTCGCGATTCCTTCTTTCACCTCTTACGACACCCAACGAATGATATGATAGTGGCTATTCTTACACCGCCACTACACGATCTTATTTCCTCGCCATCTGCTATATTTTTAATAGCCTCGCCATTTTAATAGCTTTAAATATATTTGAAAATGAAAAGTTGGCAACCCTAAGAGAAGTGTGGCTCACCGATGCAGTCGTTGTTTGCGCCGGGTTTGAAGCCGGGGTCGCAGTGGCACATGTAGGAGCCGGGCCGGTTCTCGCACGTGCCGTTGCGGCACAGCGGCCGCGGCCGCGTGCACTCGTCCACGTCCCGGCACGTGCCGTCCCGCAACAAGTAGCCCGGGGCGCATTCGCACCTTTGCACATAATATATTAGTACGTTACGGAAATGTTTGTTTTTTAATTATTTTTAACATATTGACGGAGGTGAATGCATATTGTGCGCACGGAGGTTTATGAGATTTGTTATAATTAAAGTTATATGGAACAGGAGTACAGAAAGCTAAAATTAGTTACTACTATATTAGTTACTGCTTACTAGTTTGGCAACTTCCTATGGGTTCTGCCAGCGTCAAGTTTCATGAAAGTCACCCAGAGTATTCGACTAGTATCCGTTTCCGTAGAAATGCTTACTTAGCTTTATGATACGAAGTTACATAGGTAGTTATATTCTAATCAATTAACATATAGCAGTTTTACAAAATTATTGCTAATATAATAAATAATAAAACGGATATAGGTAAGCGGTAAAAGTACTATAATTTAATGTTATTAATGGATATGAAGTCTGATAAAGTTTGTACAAAAGGAGTGTTAACTAAATTTAACAAAGACTTTATAGGGCAATTAAAAAAATTATGATAGATCGTACTTTCATCTAATCCACACTCACAAATTGAGATATTTTTAATCTTAATTTTTATTGTTTACGTTCATACTATTAATGTCAAAAAAATTTTCTTGTTTGGTAATGGATTAGTGCGGTCGTAAAAAATTATAAAATTTTCCTTTATATTGATTTTTTTTTAAATTTCTTCAGTATAGAAAAGAATCGTGTCCATCAACATATTGTGAAGATTCTTCACAATATGTTGATGCACCTTGCAATCCATATTGAATAAAAAATATTCTATTCCATTCTTAGTATTATACGTACAGTGGAGGTAACCGACCTATAGGAACCGACGGTATTCCTGCACTCGCCGTGCTCGCAGAGCGTCTCGTCGGCGCACTCGTCGACGTCCTCGCACTCGTCGAGCGTGGCGCCGAGCCGGTAGCCGGGCGGGCAGCGGCACTCGAACGCGCCGGGCAGGTTGGCGCACTGCGCGAGCCCGCGGCACGGCGCCCGCACCCCGCCCCCGCCCGCGCACTCGTCAATGTCGCGGCACAGGTGCGACGTGTTGTCGTGCTCGTACCTACACGTACACATTACATTTAATGAATTAGGAGCAATAGATTACGTTTAATTTTTACTTTTATGTGTTATTGCCACGCTGCAGTTGTATTTTCTTTCAGTGACGTTCTATTTTTTTAAATGAAAACTTCGTTATAATCGTTGTGATTTAAAACTCAATGAAACGAAAAAGCGACAGTAAAAGAAACAAACATCTATAGGATTTAGCGTGCGAGAGAATGAGATAGAATACAGTAGGTATACATATTATCTCAGTCTCTAATCAAAACTACTTTTCAGGTTTTTATCGCGTTTTATTTATTTTTTAATACCCGACGTTTCGGGTGCTTTCCAGCACCCATGGTCACGGGGGACTGAGGTGACTGACGTCCCGATGTCAAAGTTAACCCGGAGTACCCTCAGCTTTTTAATTATTGTCTTTGGTCCGATCTACGCAGAATGAACTAACTGTATTTTGAAGTCTTGCAGTGGTGCTTGGATTTAGTTTTAATTTTATTAATTTTAGGATCCCAAGCAGGTGGTAGTACCCAGCCTCCTTCTTTATTGAAATTAGGAAGTTTTTTAATTTCAATAGCCTCACGTATCATCCTTTTGGGGCATCAGTTGGGGGGGTTTTAGGGAAATTTGGTTTTAAAAAATTTTTAATATTTATATTTTTCTTTACGCTACTCTTTAATATCGCTACTAATAAAACAAAAAAGTTTAAACAATGAGTATAAAGTAGTTAAAAATTTACCCGTGGTCGCAGCCGCATTGGAAGCCAGTAGGAGTGTCGTGACACGAGCCGGGCTTGCAGAGCTGCGGCATGATGTCGCACTCGTTGATTGGCTTCGTCTCGTTCGTCATCGGGTTGATGTATTCACCAGGTTTCTCGCCACACAGTGCCATGTGCTCCTAGTACACAAAAGAAATGTTTATTGAAGGATTTGGCTTTAATTCTTTGTCAAACAAGCGAGTCTACCTGATATTAAACGGTCGCCGTAGTTTAGTTTCACCGCTTGACAACTAAACATGTCAATATATATGTCAATATAATCATTTTCATTGGCTGCGTTTGGCAGAAAAAAGCGCTAGCAAGTGCTTGTAAGCAAAATGACAAAACAGTTTTCGGCCAGGACACGTTTGCTAACTTCAGTAGCGCTGACACAATCCACCATTTTGCTTATGCTTTGTTTGTTTTGAAGTAGATTATAAGTTGTTTTATGCAATATTAGTTTTAAGCAATATAATGACATGAATAAACATATTGTACATGTTATTAAAAATTCATGATTGGTAAGTTTTTGATATGAATACTTTACAAACATATTTAAATTAGGTTAGGTTCCCCGGTTAAAACTAACTTCGTGTCCTAGAGGAAAATAGCTACTTACGATTTGACAACGCTTACCGCTTACGATCATCATTTTGCTTGCAAACGCTTGCTAGCGCTTTTTTCTGCCAAACGCAGCCAATAGGTATATTAATTTTTAGTATTATTTTTTAATTAGCTTATGCGCTTTTTTCATCAATGTCCGGTTGTTTGTGAGTCATTGAAGATCCCGACAGAAAACCAGCCAGTGCTAGTTTGCATAATGTTGAATATTGATATAGTTAGGGAGTGACAAGGGCGACACGTCAATTAGACAAGCTAGTTAATTGCACACTGGATTAATGAGACAGCGACCGTTAGGTGGGGGACGCAGCCCGCACACCCTTACACACCTAGACATACACAACACATAATTAATTTATAATTTGTACGAATTTCTATGATTCTCAATGTTGAATGTTGGTCAAATAAATTTTTCTTTCTTCTTTCTTTCTCATAGTCGTCTCGTCTAATCTTTACTAATATTATAAGGTAGAAAGGTTCGTATGTGAGTTTGTGATAATCATGGAAACTATTTGCAACCATACAAGATGCCCTATACACGCTTAAATTGAAAACAAAAAAAAGAAGAAATAAACAATGGACACCACATTGACACATAACTCTCATGCATGATTTGATTAATCACAAACATGCTCTTGAGGAGAGCAAATCATTTTGGTCTTCAAAAGTGACAAAACATCTATGGCTTTTTCTGTACAAAGTTGGTTCCTGGTTGTCACTCTTATAGCATTAAAAAGGTGCACTTCTTTTTTTTAAACCAACCTCACCTTTATATGCGTAGTAGAGCCATGCTGAAGTTATATTAGTTGTGTAGTTGTAGCACACATAGATCGGCTCGACTGGAGAAGGACTACGCTCTCACAGAATACCAGCGTAAAATAGTAGCTTAATGCTGCTGTGTTTCGTATGGTGAGTGTAGAGAACTGCAGACCCATTTTTACTGCAAACGAAGCATTCCATCTTAGTCCTCACGGGTGACAACGCATCTGCATTTTGATTTGTAATCGCGGATAGATGTAGATGTCTATGGGCCACAGCAACCACTTACCATCAGGTGGACTGTGTGCTCGTTTGTCACCCTTATCTTATAAAAAAACCTTTTCACGTTTTCGACCACTTTTTTCCTTGTCAGTCTGTGAAAGTCCGCTTCTGGACTTCTCTCCAGTCGTAGGGATTTGCCTTAACTTTCCGCTTGACAAGTGGATTAACAAACCTTTCGCATTTGTGACTCTGTTGGAGACGCTCGCTTTATTAAACTTCTTTTTTCCTAATTATTTGTTTTATATATATATATATATATATATATATATATATATATATATATATATATATATATATATATATATATATATATTTATTATACAACTGCAACACAACCGATATTGCACATGCGATGCCGGCCTTTTAAAAAAGAATACTCTTCTTTGAAGTATCGGTTCGCTTCTTAGTATATCGTCTAGAGGTGGACCGCCAATCATCCAGATGGTATGGAAGGTATCGTGAGTTTTCTCGCGATGTAATTTTGTTATTCAATATTAGTGATTAAAATAGTTTCAGTCACCTGCGAGCCTTTATCGGGACATGCTTCACAAGGAGCTCCCCAGGCCTTGCCGACGGAGCAACAACAGAGGTATTTAGTCTGCGGAACTCCCACTGCGGCGGAACATCCCCCAGTTTCCGGATCCCAGTCCATGTAGCACTGACGTTGACGAACGTCGACACATTCCTCTGCAAATTAAATATCATCATCATCATTCATCATTACAGCCCTTCAGTCCACTGCTGAACATAGGCCTCCCACAAGTAATGCTACAAAGCACGGTCCTGAGCCACCTGCAACCATCCACTTCCTGCATGTCTTACCAGGTCATCACTCCATCTAGTGGGGGGTCGCCCTACACTACGCCTATCGGTACGAAGCTGCCACTCGAGAACTTTTCTTCCCCATCGGTAATCGGTTCTTCGAGCTATATGGCCGGACCATTGCCATTTCAGCTTACTAATCCGTTGGGCTATGTCGGTCACTTTGGTTTTACTGCCGATATCCTCATTTCTGAGTCTATCACGCAGAGAAACTCCGAGCATAGCCCTCAATAACAACCAGTCTCAACTCTCAACTCAGCAAGCAGTGCGTGTTGCCAGTGACGACTTGCAGATCTGAGACGTGGTCCTCCACTGCTGGCCGTATGAGGACGCTCAAGATCGTTCAGCAAGCTATGGAAATTAAATATAACAAGTCCTAACGACTACGTTTTGTTATAAGGATTTAAAATTAAGGAGTATAAAATTAGCTTCATATCACTCCAAATGAAAAAATTTAGAACATCATTTGTGTTATATGTTAAGATGTTTCTTTTTCATTGACATTTTTATAATCATAATTATCATCACTACTGACGACTGAACACAGGCCTCTCCCAAGAAATGTCACAAAGCATTCAAGCAAGCATTCGAAGCACGGTCCTGAGCCACGCGAATCGACTTCCTGCATGTCTTACCAGATCTATCTAGTGTTTTATGTGTATGCCAAAAAATAAATAAATTTCAATAAGGATGAATGAATTATTGAAATAGTAATTAAATATAACGGAATTTTGTACTTTGTTCTATAAACGTTCTGCCTTTATCATGTAAATGTTAAATAATTATTATTGCATGGCGTACTGACTTTCGTTGTACATGTTAATATTAAGCTGTACGTTATGATTATTTCTAAATTTGTGAGGGGAAAGAATAAACTATATGTTTATTTTTTGTTACTAATGCGACGCAATGACTTCTTTTAGGTATGACGAAGCACGGACACAGGCAGACGTAAAGACCGATTTACACTTCGACAAGTACAGTAGCGAGTTTAGTTACAAGGCAGTTGACAGTAAACGGTTAAGTGGGCAGTAGCGTTCAAACAATGTCTTCGTGGCGAGTTTAGTTAAGGACATTAGTTGATAGAGTTGGTTGGTGTATGACGTTTCAAGACTACAGAATTTTTATGGTTTTCGTTTAAGATGGTTCTAGGATTACGTCAAGACTTAAATAATCCAGTCAGAGAAGTATTAATGGTTGTAGTTAAAGAAGTTTTTAATAATTTTCATGAGTCAGCATCTCAACCAGGTTTAATTTTAGAATTTGAACTTCTACTATTATATAAACATTCGTATTCTAGATACTCCTGTACAAATTTATACGTGATATCTTCCGTCCATTTTAATTAAAACTCAATATAAAACGTATAAATATTCAATAATCAGTATCGTACAAACTTTGAGACGAGTTTCATTATAAAAGTACAATTGTACGCTTTGGCGCGCAAACGTTTTGCGTCCTGTCAACTTATGCACTAAACTAAACTCGCTCGTTTACATGAACGGCGAGTTTAGTTGCGGGTGGCGGGAGACGCGCGGGAGGGCAGCACTTCGCACTTAACTCGTCGAAAAATAGCTCGGCCGGCTATCCCGTTCAACTTAATCGTTAACTTGCTACTTAACTCGCTTATTGCCGTTCAAACGAGGTTCAAACTTAACTCGCCAGGTTCGCAAGTTAACTCGCTACTGTACTTGTCGAAGTGTAAATCGGTCTTAAGTGCCGGTCAGGTTGCGGCACAGGCTGGATTAAAAGTAGCCTTAACCGACGAGCATGTATGCGTGGATATCTTCGATCAATAATACTACTAGATTCCCGATAAGCGCTTCAAAACGGCCCGAAAAATAAGCACAAATACTTTTGTGGCCTTATTTCAAATAAGTATTGGTCCAATCATAGCCATTTTACCAAGAATAAATAGATAAGCATGAAATTATTAACATAATATTTTTAACCTTTTCCCTTAGACTTTAAGTTTCATTTTAGAATAAATATTTGTGTACTTGACATTTTATATTCAGGCGGTATCTTTGTCGGATGCCATAACTTAAATAAACATATTTTGCTATGGTATTTAAACTTTATGTTTGAGTGATAAGATTTATAATAAACTGAAGTTGTTAATATTTTTAATCTTTTTGCTATATTTCATAGTAAGAAATATAGATGTTTACGTGTATGCAAACGTGGCCACTTGAGCGACTTATTTTTGTTCCTGATCCTTAATCTAGTATAATCATTGATCGTAGGTGGATATATAAATGTAAACGGTGTCGAGAGATGTGTGTCACGATCGTGCCAAATAGGAGATTGTAGTGTCTGCCTACCCATGCATGACAGGCGTGTTGATGTATGTATGTATATTAATTGAATGCGGTGCACTAACTTCCGTTGGGCATGGCGACGTAGCCCTCGGGGCACAGGCACACGTAGGAGCCAGGCAGGTTGCGGCACAGGCCTGGCGTGCACACGCCCGGCTGCGCGCACTCGTCCTCGTCCTCGCAGCGCGGCCCGTCCGCCAGCCGCCAGCCCGCACCGCACGCGCACACGAACGAGCCGAACGTGTTCGTGCACGTACCGTGCTCGCACAGCGCCGGGTGCTGCGCGCACTCGTCGATGTCCGCCAGCGTCACCACGTACGACGGCTGCGCACGACACACGATACTAACGCACCATCTTACAATCCACTGAACTATCCAACTATCAATTTTGACGTGAATACGTCTTTAAACTTACCTTTGTAGTGTAACCTTTGCCGTATAGTGGCGGTGTAAGAATATCAACTACCCAATATCATCCCGTAGGTTCCATAAGAGGAGACAGAGAGAAATAAATCAGGATATGAGCAGCAGGGTCGTCCTAATAACCTCCTAATTATGCTTGCCTCCTATGAGGCAATCTATGGGGGAGGCCTAAGTTCAACAGTGGACTGTAAGTGGCTGTAACGGGAACGACTTAAAACTTTTCATTAATTGAAAAACAATTCAGAAAACTAATGGCAACAAAATCAGGGGATACAGTTTGCATACAACAGCAAGGTATCTGTCATTTACATCCACAATTTATATAAACCACTCGATAGCTAAAGGATCAAAGAATTCGTTACGATGAGTGAGGACTGTGGGGGGAGCGCCGCCAAATTTGGGTCGTTTCGATGCACTTATTCAGTCGGGTATTTAATTCATTTTTTCCACAACTCACAACAATGAAGTTTAAAATGTAATTAAGAGTGAGTATGGTAAACAAATACAATAAAGCCCAGCGTATCTTGACCTTCTTCGTCCTCCTCAACGCGCTAAGCACGTTACAGTATAGGGTTAATTATAATTTGGATATGATATACGAGTACGTCAAAGTTAACACACCCCAGTCTCTTTTTCATTACAGCTTAGTCCACTTCTCAATATAGGTATTCTCGTATATTGCCTCTTAGAGGGTATAACTGGTATGTAGTAAATCAAAATTTTTAATTTAACCGTTTTGTAGCAGTGTAAAAATATCCACTACCCTATATCGTTCCGTAAGTGTCGTAAGAGAAACTAAACAGCAGATGAGTATCAATATCTACCTAATAACAACTAGAAAGTAGAAAATCTGCCATTGCCAGCCGGCTGTTAAGCGTGGCAACAATAGAAAATTTCTAGACCTTATGATGAATGACTTATGATGAAATCAAATTGTTGGAAATGGATCGCCAATTCACGTAGCTGTCCAGCAATGTACTATTTAACAACTAATCCCAAAAAAGACAGCGCTTTTTTGCTGACTTGCCCTGTAGTACCCGCATCCGATGTTACGCGTGCTAGATATATCGTATGCATATACAGAAAATTAATCTTTATATATTAAGTTTTATAAGCAGAAATGCATTTAAAACTATTGTTTCATATATATATATATATATATATATATATATATATTATATATATATATATATATATATATATATTTATTTAAATTATATTTATTTGGTTCGTATCTTATGCGCTGCCATACCGTTCATTAGATTGCGCTAAAACTTTTTCAACTTATTGCTTACACTTGCGCAAAGGCTATAGGCATAGTGCAATTACAAACTTACAGTACATTATTGCCGCGAGTATCGTACTAAGAAATTTATTTGAAAGTTATATATTATTTAACTTTAACGAATATATCATTCCTAATTAAACATTATAACTCTTCCAAATCCAAAACGATATTTCCACAATTATTTCTTCTACGGCAGCAATGCACCGGGTACCAGCTATTACTTTAATAAATTTAAGTTTATTTCTTGAGGAGACTGTTGAAACAAAAACTAACACATCAAAAATAATCATGTAGTCGTTTTCCTTACGCAAAACGTTTACATTTAATGAGAATACTAGTGACCCCAATATGCTTCCCTGGAAAAAAAGATATGTTTGATAGTTCTTAGTTTTGAACTTAGCATTAATATACTCATTTTATAATTTCTGCCGATAGCACAATATCTATATATGTTACACAATATCTCAGCAAACTGTACGTAAAGCTAGTCATTATTAAGAGTATTATAAGAATTATTAGGGCAAACATTATAGTATTTTACGTAAAGGATAAGAGATCTAAAGCAAATAAAAAACACTTACAGGCTCCAGAACTGGTTGATATCCCGGACCTCCTGGACAAAGTTGTCTATACGCTTCAGACCCTGGTTCCGGGCACAGATCACAATAGTTACCCCAAGCAGCACCTGACAAAATAAATTTGATCAAAATTTGTATTAACGAATAATCATCATGTGAATGGCTTTGTAACTTTTTGGAAATCGATTACGATTGTACGTACTATACTATGCTAGTATACTAGCATAATATAGTACATACTGTAATAGTAACGTAACAATTGCCTTCTTACCAACAGAGCAACAGCAGGCTGCCATAGTTCCGTCCTCGGACAACTCATCGCTATCGCGACAGTGCTCTGTCCCAGACCTTAAGTCCACTTTGCCATAACAGCGCGCTTTTCTTGAATCTGAAAACACAAGAAAACAACACTGTATCTACTATGAGGAAGGATAAAACTTATAAAAAACCTAAAAATGTGTGTGATTAACAACAATAAATTATATAATCCTTGAGAAGTCGAGTTTTAAAAATAGCCACAAAGTATTAAATAAAACTATATTTACGGATTTTATCGCGTTTCATCAACTATTTTAACTTAGTTTTAATTCCCGGCGTTTCGGATACTTTACAGCACCCATGGTCAATGGGGGGACTGAGATGTTTGACGTCCCAATGCCATAGTTAGTCCGGCTACCTTCAGTTTTTGAATATTAATTTTTGGTCCGATTTATGTAGAACGAGCTTACAGTATCATGAAGTCTTGCAGTGGTATGCTTGGGCTTGGGTTTAATTTTGTTAATCATAGGATCCGAAGTAGTTGATTAAACGCTGTAAAATCCGTAAATATAGTTTTATGCAATGTGTAGTGTTCGCGTAAATTTAAGAAATCATTAAGCTACAAAGTATTTCATTAATACTGACTTTATTACCTAGGGTCAGGCTGGTGTTTCCTCTACTTAAGCATCAAACCAATATATTTTATCAAATTTAAGAAATGTAATATAAAATCAACTTACCATAGCAGGCGGTTCCGTCAGATACGAGTTCGTAATTGGGCGGACAGCGGCATATGTACGAGCCCTGTGTGTTGACGCACGTGCCGTACTGGCACGACT